ATTATCTTGTTTTAATTCCATACAAGGGATTTAGCTTAATGAGACTAGTTTTTAATAATTTTTTGTAAATGCCATGAAAATAATAAAAATTAATTTATTTTGAACTTTCAATATTTTGTACTGATGTTTTTGCCTAAGCTCTGCAGTGGTGATTAAAAATGTTCACACATTTGATTCTTGTATCACCTGTGTATATTGGTGTAATTATACAATACAATCAGTCATCTGATGGTGTTTAGCTTTTTAACCATATCTTGAGAACCATTGAGAACTCTTTCCCAAATGATATTGTTAAAATCAACGAAACTACCAATGTTTTTCTAGATGGCAGTGACTATCATTCATGACATTAGTTCAAAATCTAAAAACATTAAAGCCAAGAAATATGTGAAACAAGGAATAAATGAGAACTTGCCCAAATTTTTCAGATATTACTTTTCATACTGTTCCTTAATATTACGATAAATATCCAAGAAGGTATTTTTTTGTGTTAAATATAAGCAGTTAAACCATACGTGTATATATACACACACACACACACACACACATATACTATCTTACCAAACATCGTGGGACACATCTCTGATTGCAGGAAAATGGATGTGATGACGAAATATGTCATTTCGAACTTGTACACCAAACAATAAGTACATGGAAAGAGCTAATAATGTTTCAGAGGGGAAGGATAGTGGATGTCATTTGGGGGAAATGTCTGTACATGCTATTGCACAACAATTAAACATTTCTAAGTCGACAGTTGGCAACCTGCTGAAGAAATGAAAGTCCACAAATGACAATGAGTCCAAGAAAGACCAAGTAGGTGTAAAATTCTGACTGACAGTAGCCAATGCACCTTGAGAAGGTTGGTTACCTCATCTCGCTGTCAGACCCTAGAGAATCTGTGTTTGGAGATGTAAACAGGCAATCCTATAAGTGTTTCCACAACATGTCAAGAGCTGCATGCCATGAATTTTCATGGAAGAGCTGCAGCCCACAAGCCATTGATAACAAAAACAAATGCAAACCATCTATTGGCATGGAGCAAGGCACACCGAACCTGGACCGTAAATCAATGGAAATCGGTCCTGTGAAGTGTTGAGTTACACTACATGCTCTTCCAATCTGATGAATGTGTTTGGGTACGGAGGATACCTGGAGAACTTTTATTACCTGAGTGTGTTGTCCCAACAGTGAACTTTGGAGGTATCATGGTCTAGGGGTGCTTCTTATGTATGGACTAGGTCCACTGGTCGCAGTGCATGGATCTATGAACGCTGAGTCCTACATTGATGTTCTGAACAATTCTGTGTGTCCTACATTGTGGCAATTTTATTGTTCTGGACCTTACACCTTCCAACATGATAACACCCCATGCCACAAAGCAAGGATTGTGAATGTGTGGTTTGAAGAGAATAACATTGGAACATTGCATTGGCCAGCACACAACCCTGAACTTGTAATTTTGTGCTTACGTAAGACTAAAAAACAACTGTAGTGCCTTACAATAACTTATGAAAACAAATTTACAACATTGAACAGTCATGACCAAGCAATCACATTCACTTACAATCTATCTGTATAGAGCCATTCTGTGGTACCCACAGTTCTATCAACTGCAAGGTTTGAGATTTAGGGAAGCCCAAAAATCAGGATGTAAAAATAAATTTAGTTCTGATTCACGACCTTACACCTTATGTTCCATCCATCAGCCAAACTGAACGAAACTGATACTTATACGCATAATGCATGTTTCTTAAATTTGATACAAATAAAAAGATGAATTATAAAACCATTAAATGTGTATTTCTTTACATACTAATGATGCAAAAATAACAGTATATTAAATTAATGCATGTATGTTATATTTATACGTTAAATATTACAATAAAACTGTTAGAAACAATAGCACTGAGATATGCAATTTTCTGTGTCACTACCTCCTCATAGTTTCTGTCATGGACCTAACTTCTGACAAGCAAATGATGAATCATTACAGACTATAGAAGATGTCAGTCTCCTAAAGGAAAAGTGCATGTAGCAATGATTATAAATATTGTTTATTGATTTTTATTTTTAAACTAAACTATGGTGCTAGTAGCATCTATATTTTTTAAAATTATTCCAGTAGGTCAAAATATAAAGGTCTGACAGAGTCCAATATCAGAATATTTATTTACTTGGGTACAAGAGCCATATTATGTGGTTTGGACTCATAAGACCAATAACTAATGATAATTTACATATCCTTATGCAGTCTCTTTGCAAAAATTATTTAAACTGTTGTCATGTTCTAGGTTTTGGGGGAAATGAATACTTTTAAAAAATATTTAAGCATTTAAATTTTAATTTGTTTGAATAGAACTTTCTAACAAGTTGCCATTGTAGAATAATATATCATAAAGAAATGGATATGTGGTGTTTTTGATATCCAAGTTTTACCAATTACTTCTCTGTTATTTCCATTTCATATTGAATGAGTCAAGCAGTTGTAGTCATATTAATTTTTCCTTGTGTGATGAAGTGTTAGAAAACAATTGTATACTATAAAAGCATACATTCTGAGGTATCAGCACAGGGTAGTCTCTTATGAAGATATGCTTAGAGTGCATAAAGAAAGCAGAAGATTATTCAAACCATTAAGTCTCCAGTTAATTTACCATCAGATAAAAATTATTTTTTGAAACTCTGTGTCATTCCAAAACACCCAATGAAACCTTCAAAAATTCTAAACTGGGGGCTGTATACTGACTTTTATAAGAGTCCCACAAGTGGTAAGCTTTGGAAGGTTACTTACCCTGTGGCTTGGAAATAGGTTTGAAAGTTATAATGCTAAAATTAAGAATTTAATCCATGCAGTGAACACAATGTAAATAGCCCATTATGCAGTTTTGCACTTAAAAATCAAACTTCAGAAAGTTTTCTTGTTCACCCATTGTACTTTGTTTTACTTTGAATAATTTCTTTTACTTTAAAGTAGCATTAGAATTTAATTATACAGATAATAATTCCAAAGGTATAAATATATTTACTTTTGAAAAAATAGATTGCTATTTGTATGTTTTATGTTGTGTACTTTTTTTTTTAGTATGCTGAAAGTTTTCTGAAGAAAAGTAAATAAGTTGAAAACTTGTCAGATAAGAAAGTTCAAGTTGTGATTCAAATACAAATATGATAATAATGATTAAAAGTACATAATCCAATTTTTAATTTAAAAATGGAGCATAATATTGCAGCAGTAAATCTTGATGAAACGTGTAGCAGTAAATATGTATATGATCTAAAAAATAATGAATATTTTACCTATTGGTGTTTAGTCAATGAAAAATGGCTTATTTTTATCTAATTTTAGGAAATTCTGTATCGGGTGGCCCTTCTCTATGATAACCACAGATCTCATTTCTCTTTGGCTGAAGTTACAGTTGCATCTGTTGACAGTCACTTTTTAAGAAACTACAGTCTAGAAAATGATTGCCAGGAGTGGTCTAATCCAGATGATCTACACTTATTTTCTGATTCCTTGATGGTGTATACTATTAAGGTTAGCTTTGTATTTCTATTCATGCAAAACATTGGCTATTTTATATATATTGGCTTTTTTTTTCTTTTCTTTTTCATTGTTTGTGTGTTTAATATCTTTATTTATGTTCTTAAATGGTAGTATATTTTCTTGAATTACTTATCCTCAGGTCCACTTTGAGACCCATATATTTGGAACTTTTCGTCAAAGTGTGGTGTTTGACTTCAGAAGGGAGCCAGTGCTCTTCCAGCAGCTGTGTGTTGATGCTGTTCCTGTTGATCAGGTGGAAGCTCTGGAGCAAGTGAAACAGACAGTTTTATGTTCAACACCACGCTGGGACAATACCAACACCATTTTAGTGCCATTCAGTTTGGATCAAGATATGTTTAGTGAAGATGAGCGGGGTTTACTTAATCTGTACCCACCCCCTCACACAACAAAGTTTGTTGTCACTCAATCTATCATGGAACCTGCACTCACACAGAACAACTACAAAAATCGAATGCACGATCTCTTATTTATTGAAGAACTTGCACAGTGTGAAGTAATCTCCAGGTTTGTCCAGATTGCATATGTAATTGATATAAAAATTATGATATTACTATTGGAAAAAAGTTCATTCTTTTACAAACAAAATGTATGCATGTGATTTTATAGACATGTAATTTTTTTATTTTTAAATAAAATTATTGCAAAATATATTTGTTATATGTTTCTGCTCAGAAATATCCAGCAAATGCTTAGTTTGTGTATTGCTAACTGAAGTAATGATGACATAATAAACAGTATGAAAACACCATTTTAAAACTTCAGGAAATATACTACATTTACTCACCATTTCACTTTACAACTACTTTGTGGTGCTTTATTCAAATTATCAATCTTAATTGACAGTATTAGGCTAAGACTGGTAAAACAACGTCAGAATATTCTCAAAATAGTTCAATGCACTTAAATGTGTGATTGCAATATATTGTTGAACGTTACACTGTTGAGAAGTGATTAGAAAAGTGCAATTGTTAAGAGATAATTGCTACTGATATACAAAACTTTATCTCTAAGAATCAAAATGTTCTTACCAGAAAATTATCAGATTAAAATGGATTATCTATCAAAATTAAGAAATATACAAGAAACTCTTATATACTATGAATACACATTAACTCTAAGTTTATGGGCCTAGATCCTTGCTTACTAGCTTGTATGGAGAATGATACACAGTTCAACAATACTTACAATAACTCAGAGCTTTCTTAATGTATCTTCACAACAATTGGTAAGATTTTGTTAAAGATTACAAGTATTTTGTACACAAAGAATGAGAATTAAGCGTTTTAACTAAAGATTTGTTAGTTTTATATTGTATTATTTGTGCTCAGGTTCTGAATATTTCAACTGTCGTCATCAAGTTATAGTTCAATGAAATGTTTAAAATTAAGAAATAAAAAAAATGTACATATCTTTTCATTTTTTATTGAATAATCTTTATAGATCTTCTTTTGGTTATATTCTTAATTGAAAGTCTTTACATTTTCACATATAGTTGATTTTTAATGTTTGACACACTTCAATGGGTGTCCTCGAGCATTATTACGGTATCATTGGCAGAGATACTTTAGCCCTCTGCAAAATGTTGTTGCACTCGCATATTACACTAAGCCTCATGCATTGAGGCAAAGTTTGGTTTATATTTTTAAAATAATTAAACCTTTCTAATATGTATTTTAAAACATAAATAACACATAATTAACTAAAATATAAAACTAAAACCTAAATACAATTTAACTGTCTATCTAACATATTTCTAGGTAACAAACAATGCTAAGTGCTAGCAAGGACATAAGTGTTATCAATACTAAGAATGGTTTGAAACACTTGTAAGGATTTCTGTACACAAATTTGAAAGTAACCATTGAGAAATTGTAGCTTAAAATAAGCTCTTTCTATTGGTTATAAACATTTACATAAATAAGTAGCCTTGAGTGCAAAATTGTATGTAGAAAGTGGGGGTGGCTTCTGTCAAGAGTTCCCAAGAGATTTATTTTCCTTTTTCAGAACTTGCCATAAGGAATTCGAAAGAATGCTATGTAAACAGAGCAATTAGCCTAGTTTCTGTCTAGATATTGAGGTCTAGTGTACGAGAAGAATTACATAAGTTACAGAGACCAAAAGCTAAGATTTGTAAATGCTTGTGCATCACAGGACAACAAAACTAAAGATTCAGAGTTTCTTTTGAAATAAAGGAACTAAAACATAGACAGTGCTCCAGATAATTGTTTTCTCTAAGGAGTAATCACTCCCAGAATTCTGTCAGCGGGACTAATTTAGAATTTTTTTTGTGCAGCAGCGATGTTTTGTGATAAAATGTAATTCAACTAATTATAAATTATTTTGCTATTTTAAAAAGTGAAATTTTGCACAATATTAATTTAGCAAATTAAATCACCAGATGTAGTCGTAATAAACACAAATAATGGCATTACAACTGTTATTTTATTTATTTGCACAAAATTGGATCATTTGCAAGTGGGCTAATAGAAACTTCTGGCAGTTAGAGAGAGAGAGAGCACTTATTTTTGTAGCTCTACTGTGTGAACTGTACCAATCTTGTGCATAACTGCAGAAAGTTACAAAAATGTACCCATTAATTATTGTACTACCATTAAAGTGGCAGGAGCCATATTTGTTTTTCCACAGCAGTAAAACAACTTCTCAATATCTTTTTAAGGTCATAAATAGCTGATTTTTGGTTAGGAATTATACTGTTACACCCCTTATCTGGATTCTGGAGCACTGAGAGATAATATAAAACATTGAATTATAACGTGCATTATAATGCTAATTTCATTGACATACATTGAGAATAAAGTTGCTTCAATAAGTTTCGAATGCAACTCAATAAAACATCATGACGTGCAAAAAGGGAACCCGTGAGCTTAGGGTTAAGCAAAATTATCTCAGTATAAAATGATGGTTTATATTTGCCATTCTTTTTCTCTGTTAATTAGGGGTTACAAATGTTGGATAAGGAGATCTTGTTTAAAATTTTTATTGTGATACTAGCGAACCCATGGGCCACTATCACAAGGCTGCTATAATGCTATAAGTTCAATTTCTTTAACCAAGTTACAAATGGTAATTAGTAGGCCTAATTATTTACGTGCTCTGATGTAAATAAATGCCAAATTTGGAGTCCACTTTTGGGGAATCCCCATAAATGTGTTTTCATGAAATACCCGACTTCACTAAGGGATTGGGTGAAAAGTTTTACCCCTGTGTAAACCTCGGGACCAAGACAATTCGTTTGGTTCCGTTTAAAAGTCAATGCGGCCAGCAGTTTAGAAGAATTATGTGATGTACACAGACACTGAATCTTATTATACTTTTTGTTTTGTGGCCTCAGCTGTGTAAACTGAAATGCTGAGTATATACATTATTTCCTCATGAAGTCTTATTATTGTTTTCATACTATTTATCCAGTAATATCCATTTTACATCAACCACTAAGTGCATTTGAAAAGAAAATATACATTTGGTTAATGAATATGTAGACCCAGCTGAGGTAAACTTTAAATTATGTGAATATTTAACCATAGGTTTAACATCACTGCTCAGATGAAACTGACATCTTGCTATTTGCTGACCCCTGCTGCTGCCACCACAGCCAAATATGTTCGTAATGATGAGCTCTATGCTTGTTTAAATCTTATATCAGAGTTGTGTAGTGATTCAGCCTCAGGGCGGCTCATTCTCAACAATTGTCAAACAGTTCTAGTGGCTCCAAATCTTGAAACAGAGAATAACACTAGACAAAAGGTAATATTCTGTACTGTTTGTACATTGTTTGCTAGGCATGTAACAGTTTTAGCATTACTTAGTTTTGGCATAAGTCTTTGACTGTTAATAATGCATGAATATTTATTAAAAAATTTTTGTAAGAAGAAAAGTACTCCTTTAAATTTACTATTATTATAGTATAGAATTTCACCAGATAAAGGAAGTGAACGAGTTTTGAAGTAATTATGATATTCATAGACTTGTTATAAGAATTTTTAGATTGTAGTCCTCAAAGATTCAACACAATTGATAAAATGTAACATTTAATATGACATTGAGGTTTTAACTATCACTCACTAAATCACTTTGAAAGTTAAATCTTGGAGTTGGTTGCAACAAAAACTGGAAATAGATTTGCAAGAATTCAAATGTGCATTTGACATCTATAAGCATGATTTTATCATTTTGCATATATCAGTCTTACCTTCTGTGCTTGTGCTGTTGAGTTGTTTTTTCAGAAACATGCTGGAACCTTTAGATTTAAAATTGTTCTTTTTGGATGAACATTTTTAAATTTACTCCATGTAGGTCTACTCACCATTAAGTTCATTAGTATCAGTTGTCATATACATTGAATTATTATAAACATTCTTAATCAAAAATATTCTTATGCAAGAAAATTGTTCATTGATCTACTTATTTTTTGAATGATATTTGTCAGCAGTTTGGACAATATTTGGTATTCCTGTAATATTAAGAGTACTTTTATGTTATAGATGCTGCTGCTTCATGAATCTGGTGGATATTTACTTTCATTATAAGGAATGTTAAGATTTGATTTTATTGTCTTGTGTTTTCTTTCAGTTATGAAGTCTGGAATAATATAATAATATCTATTATCAAGCTTTACTTGTCCATATTAACAGTCCAACATTTTGGAAAATACATAATGTTTTATTGTTTAGTAAATATTTCTAACAAATTTATCTTTGTTGATTTGTAGTGTTTAAATATTCATGTACATGCAAGATACAGTTGATTAATGTAGGTAATTATTAACTACATAGTAAATATGTTTTGACAATTGGTTACTTATGAAAGAAGCAATTTTATATTGCTATGTTACAAGATATACATTATCAGATTTATGTGTCTAGGCTATTAAGATCCAGAATTTGATGGGGGGGGGATATATATATATATATTATATGTTTAAAGATTTAATATTCTTAGAGCTAAATATTCCATGTTTTAATACCAACTTTCAAACAGGTCTATGAATCTATAATAGAAGACAAAGGTAAAAACTCTGTGTATCTTAGGCTGTCTAAACATTGTGTGGAAGAGCTAAATCTCCAGCCAGACACGGACTTTCTTGCAGAGGTCAGTTCCTTCCTTTCTTTCACTTTTTATTCTCCTTAAAATTATTTGTATTTCATAAAATTGTTCAACAAATAACAATTTCTTTTTTGTTTTTTACGAGTAACTTTTTAAGTTCAACCTGTATATTTATAAATTGATATTTTAATAGAAATGTTTGCATAATCTTCAACATTGAGATATTTGCTGAGGTTTGAAAGTGTGTGTGAGTAACTTGAATAAAAATATTACTATGACTGGTAGTTTGAAATGAGCATTAGAGAATTGTAATAATTGAGGATTGTTTTCATACTATTTTGAAAAAGTGTTTTCACACTTCTATATTGTTGTTTTTACAGAAAAATAATTTTAAGTTAAAATAAATTATTTTTATTTACTAAAGCTACATAATTTAGTAGGCTTTAGCAGAGTTTAATTTTTTTACTTTCCTGTACTGTATTTTCATTCATTCTGAATTGTTTGATCTCATCCCATTGCAAATAGAAGATATAATTTGTTTACTGTAAGGAGTATTTTAGAGGTATATCTCACTTTTGATTATTACTTTGTGTATTTCAGCTTTATCCATAGCTTCATGAGTTGTTTCAGTTCATATATATTTGTCCATTGTTTTTTTTCTTCCCAGTATTGTTTTCTTTGTTTTACTTTGTAGAATTGAACTCTTTATTTTTTTCTTCTGTTTCAATTATTTGATAATTCTAAGAGTGTTAGTATGAATAATAAAGTTCTTTGCTTGTGTTCTATTATAAGAAAATATTTTTATTTTATTAACGAGGTTAGTGTAATTTACAGAAATTTAAACTTACTTTTTTGAAAATGTTCATCATTTTGCCATTGGTTTTTCAGTATTCTGAGGTTATACATTGCAGAAAGCTCAATAATAAGATATTCATTCATATCCTTCAGGTTTACTAAGCTGTGACAATTTAATTACACCTCCTGTTTCCAGAAAAGATTTCTTCTCTGAACTTCTGGAATATTTATCTAAATTTTAAATATAATGTGTATATGCTAATCCAGTGAAGATTATTGTAACTATTGGTAGCACTTGTATTTGAAAAACTGGCTGTGTCTCTCCACCAAAGCCAAATTATCATCTGTTAATGATAATTTTCAATGTGTAACTATTTCAAAATTATGGAATTCAGGTTCCTTCCTTTCAAAATCAACCATTTAATCCCGAAGCTTGTGCTCATTGCTTGACTAACTTGCTATTTATGTACCAGGATTTCAGAATACTTTGTCCCAAATTTACTTCACTACATACATACATGTACATAAATCAATGGGAGTGGTCAGTTGTGTGCTATATATGTGTTTGTTTAGTGGTCCTCTTTGTATGTTTTATTGCCAATGTAGTACATTCTACAGATTGTATTCAAATTTTATTTTAAACCCAGATTTAATCAAGTTACAGAAATTGTATTTCGACAAGGTATCTTACTTCTTCTCACATACATAGCTATTCTCGTTCAGTGCTGCCCTCTATTTGCAAACGTTTTTTGCATGCCACAAGCCTTTCACTCACACTAACCCCTTGATTTACATGGTTTAACTGATTCTCATGTGCAAATTATCAGGCGACAAACCTCCAACAATTGTAGTGCTACACTCACATATGACTCATGTGAATCCCTTTGTGCTATTCTACTTATCACTTCTCATTTGGCAGTGCTTGTGTTCAGACATTTAGTTTGTGCTCTCTTCAAGTGTGTGTGTGTTTCTTTGTGGGTTTTTTTTTGTATCTTTGTATCAGCTTCTTTCACTGCATTTACTATTTATTATACTATAGTGATATTTGTAACTTATACCAAAGTGGAATTATTTTATATTTCTACCTAGTTATGAGACTTAATATTTCATTACAAATAATTTTGAATATGAATTTCGAATTCTAAATTACTACTTCGAAGGTTATGTCTTCTATCAGTAAATTTACACAGGCTTCATGTGGTGGGCTTCGGCAAGGAAATTATCAACTTTACTTCATTGGGAGATTGATCATCTAATGAGCTGATCTCTGTCAGGCCTCGACTCGAGTTTGTGAGCCCACACATTTGAAATACTGTCTGCCAACTTTGGAAAGATATGGCATTATACTGTTATGTTTTTTAATATTTTTACTGTTAATATTATTATGTATAGTTATTTGGGTTTGTTAACATAAGTTTAGTTAGATTGGTCAATACTCATAGTTACGTTCAAGTTTGCAATTAGAGCTTAGTTGTATCCTTTATCCTATAATGTTAGATTAGGCTTAGCATGGGTCTTTTTTAATTTAAAATTACCTGTAGCTCATCTTACTAATATATCATAAATGAGGTTAACTATATTTTTTTTTTCACACTTACTTAATTTTACACTATAATGTCTATTTCATTTTCATTATTATTTATCTTTTTTACTTCTTCCTATTAACTTTGTTTGTGTGGACCCCTGGAGCCAAGGTCTGTACAAACTTCTCCTGATATTGCACGTATTATTGTCAGTTAAGGTTTTTAAGTTAGAGCTTAGTGATATACTTTGTCCTGCACAGTTCAATTATGCTTAAAAAGTGTCTGTTATTTTTGGTTTACCTGTAGTTCATCTTACAGGTAAATCAATAATTAGGTTAAATATCTTCTTTTCTTCAATGCATAACATCATATACATATGTTTATTTCACTACACTCTTACTTAAATTTACATTATATTGACTATTTAATTTTTCGTACTTTTTAATAATTTATGCTCCTTACAATTAATTTATCTTGTGAGGACCCCTAAGGGCCAGGGTTCGCCTTACCTTCACCCGATATTGCTCGCCTTCCTCCTACAACTATATAACCCACTTAGGACGACCTAGATTTTCTTAGCTTTCCTCCATCTGATAATGGCTTGCCTACCCAGGCCTCTACTGTAGAATCTGCGAGGCCTACCTCAACCTTTTTTATTAGACATGTTTCACAGTATACACTTCTCCTCCTTCTCCAGACATTGTGTTCCTGATGAGCATTTTTGTTTCTTTTTGCCTCGCCCTCAACAGGCTTTGATTCAGTTTGACTTAGCTCACCATCAGGCAGATTTACTTTTTAATTCTATGTACTTAGAAAATCAGTCGCCTGTATGAGAGATAATCTCTGTTGATCCTATCTGTTTTATCCCCCATATACTCTTCAAGCTTTGTCTTACCCTATTGACTCTACAACAGGAAATGTCTACCTTATACCTTCTGTCTTAGGTGTTACACCTGTATCTAGGGGATTTTTGGGGAATACCTCTTCTTCCTGCCCTCTATATTTGAGTATTTGTCATCTTCAGTTCTTTCCTTCCACACATGGATTCTTTGCTTTTGGGAATTCTGGGGTGGGACACGGTCTTGTACTGTTTGTTTACCATCTACTTCTAATAGGGACTTCCAATCAGTTCTTTTTCTCCACTGGTCCATTTTTGGGAGCTACTCCTGTGCATTTAGCATCATGTGGGGTATCTTCGATGCTATATTTTAGTTTTTTGTTGCTCATTTGTTTCATTCTGAGTCATTGCCATCTTTATTCATATCCTTGTCCAGCATCTTATTGTCCTTTACCTGTCCTACCTACGGGTTTCTCCATTTGTCATGTATGCTTGATGCTGATTGGAATTCTGGTTCGATTGGTCCCACCTCAATCAATTCTTGGTTCTTCCTTGTTTTTAATATGTACTATTTGATCGCAATTGGGTGGGCTATTTCTGCTGGACTGAGAATTCCCACGATACATGTTCTTATTTTTCATTTCTCGGGACACAATCTTAGGTTTTTTCACCGTGTGATTTGAAACCAGTTTTGTGCCTTGCCCTTCAGACTTGTTTCAGTTCCGTATGTCTTTTGTCAATTGGTCTGTGTTTTTCCTGACTACCACATTTTGGGGGATTTTACTAACACCATTACTTGGATGTCTGGCTTTGTTAGCTCCTTTCAAATGGGGGTGGTCATAACATACTCATCTGCTTCTTACACAAGCAGCTCGAATGGTTGGATTTTCCAGTAGGATAAGTTTTTCCTGTTACCTACCTATTAATCTTGGCTATTTGGGAAGTGTCTTTTAAAACATTCACCTCCATTGGGACCATCCATTCTTCCTTTGGGCCTGGCACATTTGTGATCTTTACACGAGACACTGCATGACCCATGGTATCTTACTAGGTTTTGGATGGATTCTCCTCTTAACTTTCCTTCTTCCCTTTTCAACTGTATGTATTGTTGGTTAAACCTATCCTCCACGGTTTACCACTTCCTTCACATCGCCTGGATTTGTTTCTCTTCCGAGATGCTCATCTCCAAAGTTGGGGGGCATGGGTCAATCAGCAGCAAGCTTCAGGTCAATGGTCTATGGACGAAAGGTCTTACCTTGTTAACACTCTGGCTGTTCAACATGCTTTAGTTCACTTTCTTCCTCTTATCTCCCTGTTTCTTCCAGAATAAGAGATTCCTTACCGCTTTCCAGTTCCAAGCCACTGGAGTGGTAGATCGTGGAGGTATCCTCCTGAATGACATTTTAATGTTGTAAATCCATTGACTTACCACTGTTCTGAATGAGAGATATACAGTATAAACAATAAAGACTTCATTCAGTTGAGAGTAGGGTGGTGGTCTTCTGCTGGTGCAGATGATGAGATGTCCACCAAATGGATGCTCTACCTCTGCATGGGTTTTTCTGAGGGTATGTTATAGCTTTTGAGTGCACCATAATAATGATTGGAATCCCTTATCCTACCTCCCACATGAATGTTGGTTACAGGTGGTTGAATTTTGGATTTAGAGCTGAACTAATCACCATATGTCCTCACACGTGTATTGGGATTGGGATCCTTCATCATACCCTTGCATAAATGTCTGTTTCCAGCAGTTGAGTTTTGAATTTAGAGCTGAACCAAATGACATGATGTACTCACACATGTAGTGTGACAGCATAAATGCAGTTCATCTCTTTGATTGGGATCCCTAATCCTACCCCCACATGGATGTCAGTTCCCAGTGAATCAACATAAATTCTCACACGTATTCAGGGTGTCTCTGGTCCCTCACTCAATTCGCCTTGAGTGCACTACCCCAGTATTGTCACAGTGGGTGCACTTGTTGGTTGCTCTGCTTCCTCTTGTGCTACCACTTAATGTCTTTATGCCGAGGATATTACTGTGTTTGAGGTGGTTGTGGGCTGTCTGATTTAAGTGGAATATATATGTAGGTTATTTCACTCTGCTGACGTGTGCCCTATTCTCAGATCATTGGTGAGATTTCTTCCTCTGACCAGCTGAACTTCAGGTGTAGACAGTATGGTCCTCTTTCCCACCCCTGCATGGATTTCAGTTCCTGGTGGTTGAGTTTTTTGATGCAGTTTACTTGTCATGTTCGGTCCATTGTGCCCTAGCCACTCTACACCTTGGGACACATCCCTTGTTCTACCCACATTATGTTCATCAGGGAGATTGAAATTATAATATATTGTGGTTAGGGTCACTGTCCAACTGTTTTATTTCGTATTGGGATTTGTTCCTCACAATTTTCCGTCCGGATCTGTCACACCTTTTCCACATCTGGGCTAAGAGTATACTTGGTCCAGAAATGGTGCGGTTTCCCATATATAATCCTCTTATTAGAGGGTTCCCTTCTTAGGGTATCCTTCGGATGCTTCTACTTTCTCCCTCACACTGGTTTCTCCAACTATTCAATGTGAGATTATATCTATGTATTTGAGGGGAAGTAAGGTATCTTGGCAAAAGTTATAATTTCCCTATGCTAAAAATGTATTTCTGACAGGTACTTTCTTTTGCTCAGACTTCCCACACTTCCTTTCTACTGTCAGCTGGTGCTTACCTTTCTGCCTAATCTTGAAGTGATAGTTAGGTAGTATAGCATAAAGGGAATCATGAGTCATGTGAATGTGTGGCAGTACTATTGGTGGAGGTTTTTTGCATGATAATTTGCATGTTAGAACCAGTTAAACTACATGAATCGAGGGGTACATGGGAGTGAAAGGCTTGTGGCATGCAAACAAAATTTGCAAATAGAGGGCAGCATTGAACAAGAAGAGTATGTGAGCAGAAGTAAGTGCCTGTGAGAAATGCATTTTCATTGTAGGAAAATTATAACTTCAGATTTTGCTGTAAGTTTCATACTTAATCCTCAAATTTCTGTTTTTAATCAAGCTACATAGTTAGATATTCAAAGTTGCTTCAAACTCAATATTTCATAGTTTAATTTCATGTTTAGTTCAAGGTATGTACTGCTGTAATCAGATTTTCCTGTAATTTTTCTATTTAACTCTCAGTATTGTATTTTAGATAATGTTGCATATTTACGTACTTAAAACTTTATTAAACTTGATGTTTCACATTCAGATGTGGGTTTAGATCTTGTTGCAAAACATTATGTTCTGATGTTGCCAAAAACTTTGTTTCGCTCTAGGTTCAGTTCCAAATCAACAGGTTACCACTGTGTGAACTCCATTATGCTGTGGACAAATTGAACCCAGTTCACTTGATTTTTCCTGATCTCAGCCTAAATCTTCAAATACCATGGAGTCCTAAAAAGTATTATTGTTTTTTTATTCTAAAAACTTGTAATTAGAGCTATGATAATATTTTTTACAGTAACATAGCAATTTAAATAAGACCATAGTAAAACATCATACCAGTAACTGATTACATGCATCTAATTTTTGAAATTTTTGTACATTAGATTATCATTACTTGTGCTTAAAAGTATTCCACGTATTAACATTTCATGCATGTGTATATTACACCATAGTAAGCTTCTCTAACAAAACCTTTCAAACTAGATAAATCGTAGCTGATTTTATTGCTGATACTGTGTATCTGGAATTTATATATATGCATCTCTCTCTTAGTTGTCAAAACTATGATTTTGTGCATGGTATGTGTTTATACAAGTTTTTGTTTTAAAAATATTATTGATAAACATAACTGTTTTCAACAAAGAAATACATTGTCAATAACACATCTAACTTGTTAGTTGAATATGCATACTACTGTATGTTTTATTGATTGAAAACTGTTTGCTGTGGTATGTTTGATGTCTTCAAAATTCTTCAACACATGAGTCAGTAAAAGAACAAAAATACTGGACATGGGAATTGTAAGAAAGACAAAAAATAGACATACTTTGTTTTTCAGGACCAGAAAGTAAAATAGAAAAATAATTTGACAAAAATACGTTTCAGTACTTTGTTTTTGAATTAGTTTATACAGCATTAAAATAGTTTCTTTCCTCCCTGACTTTCACTTACTGTAATGATAAGTTGGATATAACTGTCACTCTTGACAAAAATAAAATACTTGTTTTTTAGTGTAAACCTATTGAAGATCAGTGGTATCTATATATATTACTTGTTTACTCAAAATATTAATAAGTATTCCTTACAGTCAAGCCTTAAGGCTACAGGATCAGTTTTAATGAAGAGGATTTGTTATAACAATATTGTCAATTTATTATAGGTTTTGTTGAGCACGCACGCACGCACACACACACACACACACATATATATATCTAATGAAACAGTTTTCTCTTGGTTGCCAAAAGAGTTATTCAACTATTTCCCTATAAGATTAAAAACGTAAATCGTATATAATATAAAATTTGATTTATTAACCATGTTTTGATGCCAAGTTTATTCATATACACTGATAATAAGTAGCTTAATTAAATTTTGAATATAAATCTGTAAAAGGTTATGACATGCTCACTTTGACTTGCCTATAGCAAGAGGGTTAATACACAATTCAGCACTGAGAGAAGTTTTGTTAATATAAAAAAAAAAAATGCATCAAGGAAAAATATTACTGTGATTGCCTATCATCTTCACAATAACTGTTCTTCAGCCTCCCATTCTTACAACAAAGGTTTTTGACATTAACTATCTCAAGGTTATCCCACATATGAAAGTATTCATCAAGTATTTGTTTATTATCCAAGAAGTAGTTGATATAGTTTGAGTTACTTATCTGTTTATTTGCTAGATTCGGTTATATTTTTCCTTGATGCATATTTTTACATTAATTAAACTTCTCTTAGTGTTAAATTGTGTATTTAACCCTCTTGCTACAGATAGGTCAAAGTGTACATGTCACCACCTTTTACGTAACTACGTTCAAAATTTATTTAAACTACTTTATTATCAATGTATACAAATAAACTTGGCATCAAAATGTTAATAAATCAACTTTTAGTATAATAAAAGTTTTAAGTTCTCATTGGTTTTAAGGAAATATTTGCTCCCCTTGTATAAGAATTCTGATATTTATTCTTTAGGATTTTTTTCTTTTGTAATTTATTTACCATCCCTATCTGAAGTATGAAATTTAATGTAAATTACTTAATATATATATATATATATTATTAAGGCAAAGTCTAATTTTTATAGCTTTCAACATCAATTGTTTACGGAGTCATAGAAAATCAGACCCACTTGTCATGCCTACCTGTCACATCCTTTCTTGCACAAGTTGTAATAATTATTTCTAAAATTTTATACTTTATAACCATTAGAAAGGCAAAGTTTCATTCTACTGAACGATGTATAATATTATATTGTTTTCAGCATAGAGTTTTGTCAATTTTATCTTTAGTTTGAAAGTTTATCTTGTGCTGTTCAGATTGAGCAGCAAATGGAATTAATTTAAGCCCCTCTTATCCTAGTTAGAAAGTCAGTTAAATTATAATAGTATAGGACATTGTTTGTTTTATGTATGTTATTATTCTGTGTTCTTAGATGAATCATTTAAGTAAATAAAAATTATTTATTGTACTAGTACCATCATTATAAAAAAGTAGGCTTAAATTTCTTTAGCAAAAAACAAGAGGTCAAAGGTAAGTACTATATTTCTTGTTTTTCATATATATTCTTTATTTATAGTTATAAATGTAACTAAAATGTAAAAATTGGAAACCTATTAAGTTAGATTAGATAATGAAAAATAATAATAAATATTCTTCACAAAGTATGCTTGTAAGCAGCTCATGCATTATGTCATTCAATATGGTAATGTGACTTATACAATAAACCAATAAAGTTAAGTATAGATAGATGTAAACTGTTACGAAGCTTGAGTTATTTAGGATATTCAACTGTAGTTTTCTGTTACAATCTGCAGTAATTTTAGAAAGACAGAAAGGGTAATTTAGATTTATTTCATTTTTTATGGTGGTTATAAGGAAATTGACTTGAGTCTGTATATTGTTATGGATGGAGGAAATACCAAATAAATATAAAGTTTTACTGAAAAAAAAACGTTTGATATTTATTTAGAAAGTTTTAGAGGTTAAGCAAATAAAATTTGAACATTTTCTGATGAAGAAAATTATTTTTTATTTTAACATGAAAATCACTTTGTACTCAGAGCAGTCAACACTCTGATTCCATATATTCATGGAGATACCATTAGTATGAATACTTAATTAAAACACCTGATTTTTCGTGTACAAAAGACTTGTAATGCGTACTAAAATCTTACCAAATTTTGTGAAGGTACACAACCCATTAAAAGTTATAGAATGGAAACTGATTGTTATTTTGTGGTTACAAGGTTGGTCAAATTGACCAACCCCGTATGGAAAGAATTAATGAACATTCAACAGATATTCATCATAAACAATAAGTGCAATATATTATTTTACTTTGGTAATAGTAATCTTTTACTACATTTTAAAATTGCATTTCTACAAATAGGTTTTATTGCTATTGCAGTGAAAAAGCTTTGAGCTACTCTCTTCCAAGCTAATAACCCAGATGGTGTTAATACACAGTATTTAATCTACCCCACCTATGTTAATATTAGTGCCATCTCTATGTAAAACATAATAATCAGTTCTCAGAGAAAGAAGATCAAGACTCCATAAGCTAGGACTGTCTTTTTAAATTATGTTCATATTAGTGTTTATTTCTTACATTTTAAATGCCAAAAACTTGCATATTTCATAACATTCATTTGCAGTGAACAAAGTAATACTATGGAATTTAATTGTAAGTTATTTTTATCTTTTAATAAATATATTTCCTTCTGTAAAATGTTAGAAGATCCTATTTATAAGTTTCGTAGCCACAAGATTGTTTGTACACAGAATTCCATTAATAAATATATCTGTTTGGGTCCACTTGTATTTTTTTGTTTCAAAAGTACATTTAGAAGAAAAACTTAATAATTTAAATACACCCAATTTTGTTATTCTACATTTTCAACATTTAATTTTTTTTTCCTTTTATAAAATCTCCACATATAAAAATTAAATAGAACAGTGTATGTTCCTCTTTATTTCTTTATACCAGCCACAGATTTAAATAAGGTAGATAATGTTCAATAATTAAAGATAACATAGAAGTTTATACTAACACTACAAAACTTAAGTAAGAAGTATAACAGCAAATTAGTTTAACTGCTGATATCGGAGTATAATAAAGTTAAACTAAATGCCATACATAGTGTTGAATAACTAATGTTCAATTTTATAACAGGCCATAACTTAAAGTTTGGATTAAAAGTTATTTTAGACATTATAGCTTAAATACGATAAACAAGTTAATTCAGATTGTATAATGAAAAGTTACGAACAAAACAGCTGCTTTATTTATAGAGCTTAAGTTCAAGTTTAATAAATTATTTCAAATATTTTAGTCAGATACCATTGAATAAAAAAATATTTCTCAGCCAAATGCCATGAAAAAGCAGTTAGTCCAGTTAATAGAGTCCAAGATAAAGAACAAGGAGTTTATTCAGAGAATTTACCCAAAACTTCTTTTAAAAAGAAGATAGTGTACCAAAAGTCACTTGCAATAAGTTAGGTTTCTTATTTATTAGAACACAAGATCTAAATGCATATTCTTCTATGAAGAAGACACTAGTTCACATACTTTTGTCAAAGGTTAGAAACAAAAAGCTTGTTCAGATACTGTAAGTTTAGTACGGCAATGAAAGTTTATGAACAGGAAGTTCATTTCAATACTGTTGGAAAAAAAAAGAAGTTAAAGTAACATGAAACCAAGACCTGAATATATGTAATTACCATAGCCAAACTTCACTTGCTTATTTAAACCTGATGATCTTGGTGGTAAAAGTAAAAACGTAATTCAGATGTTGGTGTTGTAGATCAAGGACAAGAAATTAGTGTAAATGCTATAATCAAAGCTCATGAATAAGATCCTAATGCAGTTACTATATTTAAATGTCAGTTAATTGAATTTTATTAATATCATTTAGTCTTTATGTTAATTTTAAGAAACTATTAGCCAGTAGTACTTATAAAAGGAATATTCATGCACTGTAACTATAGGATCAACATTATGTTATCAACAGATATTATAATAATCTGGGCAGACAAAGTGAAGGACAGTTACACTATTCTCAATCAAAGGTTTAATGCAATGTTTTTTTATTTTAGTTTTTACAGGTTGTTTTAATATCTGGAAGTAAATAGTCAAATTTTAAAGATGATGAAGAGTCATACTCAGTTGAAAATTTAAAATTTACATATATTTGAATAATTTACGCATAGAAATTTGTAGATGTAAGGTTTGGAAATCCAGTGTGATAAGCCCTCAGTGGTAAGTCTGAAGGTCTATAATACTAAAAATTGGGTTTCAAAATTCTTGGTGAGCACAACACAGATAGCTCATTATGTAACTTTGAGTTTAACAACAAACAATGTAATTGCCAAAATAAGTTCAATATTTTGATATAAAGTAGTTTAATATCATTCAGTTACAAAACATTTCCATTTTTGTTTTTGGTAGACTCACTATGAATTCCATTAATTAGTCTAGATCATTTTTTAAAATATTAAAGAATATTTCAAATTGATAAGTTTCATCCACTGCTCTAGCATTTAGTCAGATTGTGCATTTTCTGCCCAGACATTCAAACCATACTCATTCTTTTAAACTGTAACTTCTTAAGTCAATAATTAATATTTCCATAGGATAAAGTTAACAATGTGCTCTAAAGCTCAGAAGAGAGAAAAGTGTAGAAAATTCTCATTTTATTTTTATATTAATTTCTGACTAAATAATTTTAACAATTAACAGTTTTTGGCACATACATGTTTGTAATGTAAGGCAGTAGTATTTAATGAAAGGAAACATTTATTGTTGTTTTCAGACAGTGGAAAAGATCTGCTAAACTGAACCCAAAACAAAAAGAAGCTGTTGTTGCTATCACAACACCAATAGATATACGCTTACCTCCAATTCTTATCACTGGGCCATTTGGAACAGGAAAGACTTACACTTTGGTTCAGGCAATTAAGGAGATACTTAATCAGTCCAATACCCGTGTGTTAGTATGTACACACTCTAACAGGTTAGTAAAGTACTACATGTGTGTAATTTCTTTACATTCAAAATTTTGGAGGTTTAGTTTTAAATGTGTATAAGTCATAAGTAAAAATTTCATAAAACACTTTTAGTTTATGCAGTTTTAGGATCTGATGCATTTGCTGATCTACTTTTATTTTCATTCTAACCAATCAGTTAGTAATAGTAAGTACAAAGAAGTGGTTAAAATCATTGTTACAGAAAAGTAACAAAGGTTTTTAACGTTGACAACTTAATTATTTTCCTTTTACAACGATGTTATTTGTTTTTGTATTTTCCAGATGTTTCACACATTAACTGTAATTGCTATTTGTGTTAATTAATAAAATCTAGTAAACAACATTAAGGTATTAATCTTATATGAGGTCAGTTAGGAAACTTTATTATATCTTTATGTATTGCACATATTACGTTGTGTTATAATCCTGTTTGTTGTGTAACTGTCAAGAAAGTGTTTTTCCCTCAGTATGCTTAAATATTATACAAGATAATATATTAATTTCATATAAATACTCAGTGTTTTTTCTTTATATCAAATAATGTCTATTAGTAAAATATGTGATTGTTTGATTCACAAAATATCTCTTCATGACAGTGCTTTATGACTTTTTTTCTTTTCAGTGCTGCAGACATCTATATTCGAGAATACCTTCACCCATATGTGGAAATGGGTCACACTGAAGCCCGACCATTGCGAGTCTACTACCGCCATCGGTGGATAGCAACTGTTCATCCTGTAGTTTTAGAATATTGCTTATTAACTATGGATTGTAAGGCCCAAAAGTTTGTCATGCCATCTATTGAAGATATTATGAAACACAGAGTTGTTGTTACAACAGTGGGAACTTGTCGTTATTTAGTACATCTGGGGCTTGATAAAGGTAAGTTGTTACTAGGATTACATGAAGTTTTTATCCATCATCTGTAAAAATGTAAAATATAGGTAAGATTTAATATTTTTAATGTGTGTAATACAGTTTTTGCTATTATATTTAATAACAAGTAATTAAAAAAGGCAAGATATGACTAATTGATTGGAATATCTATATGTGGAACTAAAAAAAGTTTAGGTGTAGCCAGAGTTTTATTATTATTATTATCTGAAGCATTTTGAAGTGGAGAAAAATTGATTAAATATGTCTATCAATTCAGATGAAAAAAGGCAAGATAGTTTTAAATATAATTTCAAGTGGCACTTATGCAATACATACATATATACAGTTACAAGGAGTACAAAAAGTGATTACCCAAATAATTTATTAAAAATAGGAACCATTCCTAAAATGACTCTACATGTTTTGATGTTCTTATGTCACCCACCATCTTCCTAGAGAACAAAAATTTAGATATTTGAATTTTCTAGTTTTTGACATCACCAACTTCAACTATTTACTGTTTTCAAACTATTTGAACTTGAAATAAGCAACAAACTTTTTGAGAATCTTTACATTTCCAGTTCTGTTTTTTACACAGACAATTTGTTTCTGTGCAGTCAAGAAATTTAATAATTTCCACAAACTAAAATGACAACCACAACAGGGGTAAAAATTGGTAATTCTGGATTAACAGTTTTGATTATTTTTTTTTGTAATCACTTTATCAACAAAAAAATTATTAAAACACAAACATAAAATTTTTAATTTAAACATTTTGGTAATGATTTTTATTTTCCATGTAATATTAGAGGAAAGATTCAACAAAACTTGATTACATCATTTTCTACCCGTGAAAAACTCAAGATATTGGACCGGATAGGATTAAAAATGTGATATAACTAAGGTTTCATTCTGATAATTAATGTGCACAGAAATATAGATAGGTCAGGGTTTGGCTAGATTTTCATCTTGCTACAGTATAAAATAACTTTGTGACTGAAAGCATGCAAATTTAGACTTGTTTCACTATTCTTTGTAATACAACTAGAGAAAGATTATATATGGTATAGATTTGTTTTGTCTGTCACACCTATTATCCAATAATACATTTTATAACCAAGAAATGTATGAAGGTGTGTTCAGGGTACTTCGCTCTTGTGTAATATGATTTGAAATAGCAAGACATAATGTGCAACTACTCTGGATAAGATTGTATAAACAAGTAAAGATAAAACTCTTCAAAAAAGGATGTAAATGTAGGGATGGCTAAATCAATCTGTCAAAAATAATGCAAACAAGATAGTAGGGATGGCATTTGCATCATCCTTACATAATAGCACAGGCACACAGTGTAGTAGAATGTTAACAGACAAAATTGGGATAAATTAAATTCAATTGTGATTGAATAGTAATATATATTGCTATATATTAATTCTTGCCTGTGTTTGGGCTATAAGATATTTTAAATTATATTTTGTTTGTCCAATATAGATACTTTCATATTCGCATTCAAATTTATAAATTCCAAATTTATCCACTAATTGTACTTCGTTTTTACTATCTTATTTTATCTTATTATTGGTTTAAATACAGAGCAAAACATTTGTTGTTTTTTAAAAATTTAAAATAAACCTGGAATATATGGTAACACTAAACATATTAAGAAAATATAAAATGTGAAATTTATCTCTTTTGCAACTTTACTCTTGAAGATGACGTGTGACACGTCGAAACACGTAGAGTCATTATTTTGAAATGATTTTAACTGTTTAGTATTGTAATGTTCTGATGACCTGTTGAGAGGATATTCAAATACCATTTCAACGAACAATCTGAGCCATCCCTATGTAGGCAGTGGTGTACCACCTGCCTGATAAATGGGTGTGTTCTTAAGTTGGCATATGTCTAGCATTATTTTAAGGTATGTTGACCTTGTCTTATTTAATTACATCTTATTCTAGGACTGGATAAACATTGGTTTCATTTTTCCTTGCATAATACATTAAGGATTCAATCTAATACACTGTAACTTGGTATTAGTAGTTCACTCAGAAGATTTTGAGAGGCATCTATTTTTTTTTTTTATTAGATCTAATTAAATCTTTCAGCATGGGCTTGGTCCCTAGGATGGACCTCATAACCATTTTGTGCTTGTTCTAGTTTTCATGCTATATCTTTTAAACTTGTAAGTAAATGTTAATGAAATTTGGTACATTATTAGTAAACATTACAATGCGTACATATGCAAAATATCAAATTTTTTTATTAAGTCTTAAGGTTTGTAAAGAAATGTGTTTCTCATGGTTTTTTTTCTTTCCACATGTTGCCTATCTAACATGCAAAGTAATTTTCATTTTAAGATGGAAAATACTTTTATGCACCAGAAAATTTTCAAATTTCACATGCGAAATCTTTATCATGTCCAGATAGTTATCAAATGCTTCTTAAGAAAAAACTATATATTTTGTCTGTTATTTTCAGTAATGAATCTTTGTACAGGTTCAGTAAATTTGACCGATCTTGTAACCACCATAAAAAATTAGGAAATAAGTATATATTATGTCTCTTTCATTCTAGAATGAACACAGATTATAACACGAAAACATAAATGTTTAGATTAAATAGCTTAAATCTCATAACATTATACATTTATATATATTCATTATTTTTATTATATTGACCTTTCAGCCGTGCCTGGCTAACAATACAAAAGTGATAATGATGTGGCACACGTGCACTTATGTTAAAATTAATCTCAAATTTCCTTTGTGTAAGTTTTTTGTAAAACTTTATAGATTATCTGTTATTTTCTCAACCTTATCTCAAAATGGGGTCAATTAATTCGACCGACCTCATAACCACCAAAAAATAATTGAAATAAACCTAAATTACCCTTTTTTGTTTCTAAAATGACTTCAAATTGTAACATGAAACTGCATTTGTTTATCCTAAGTAGCTCTAAGTTTAGTAACAGTGTATACCTATTTATAGATAAATTTTATTGTTTTATTTCTCTTAGAACCATGACAAATTACTATCCGTGCCTTTATAAGCTGAAAATCAGGGAATGTGCAGCTCACATTATGCTAACGAATTACATTGCCCATGAGCTGCTCACATGTCTGCCTTGTGAAACTTTTTTATTATAATATTATAATTATTTATTTTACCTAATCTAATCTTAACAAACCTAAAAAGATCCTTTAGTTACTTTTATAATTATACATAAAGAATAAATATGGAAAACAAGAAATAAAACATTTAACCAATCTTCTTTTTTCTTGCTGTTGGTTTTCAAAGAGAGTTAACTGTAATTTTCTACACTATAGATAGTAATGCACTTTAATTTTTATTTAATTGAATGATGCACCAAAGAATATAGACTAATAACATGCAAAAAGTAGACAATTTCACTTACCTCTCAAAATTTTCCTGGCTTTCTAACTTTGTGACAAGAGCCGCTACAAATTCATCCAAGCTATTCATTAACTTTCCCATGGGAACGATGTTGGCACTCTGAGTGAAATTGACATTTAACTGTTCAGAATATAACATTATACAATATATCATTTGATAGATGAAAACCTTGACGTTGTATTGGTTATAGGTAATATATAATAAAAGGTAAGAGAGAACTATCAATGAATTCTGAAAGAGAGGATGTGACAGGTGGATCACACTAGTGGAAATTCAGGATGTTTTTTAATATTGCCGTGAAGAATTAAGAACATAAAACTTGTATACTATTAAAGTATGGATTATTAGCTAAGATTTTATGCAATTCTAATTGGTATAACATAAACAGAAAGTAGTTTAATAAAATTTTAAATATGAGACACTAAAACTTTGTGTCATGCGCAGTAAAGGGTACCGATGGCAATAGGGTTAAGATAAAAGAAGTTTGTCAGTTGTGTGGAAATGATTTAGTTATATTCTTTTTGTATTTTATATATATATGTACTACCAACAGATGCCTTATCTGCAGTGTAATCTTGTATAATTCTAATCACTTTCAGGGTTTTTCACTCATATATTGATAGATGAAGCTGCTCAAGCTATTGAATGTGCTGCCATTACTCCATTAGCTTTAGCTGATGAACAAACTCGTATTGTCTTGGCTGGGGATCACATGCAGGTGAGAACTCTGAACTTTTATGGATAAAGTTTTTGGTCAGATAAGTATCTTATTACATTACTGAAACTGAGATGTTCGTAAGATCATACCAAAAAATTATTGTTAAAAGCAAAAGTAGCCAAGTATATAATTCAATGCAATCTTATCACTACAAGCTTCTAGTCCTTTAACTGCTCTATTTTGTTGAATTATAATTCATTGTTTGTTCAGCACTGATCTTTTACAATGTATATTACAAAACTACATAAAATGGCTTTTATATTCACTGTTAAACATTAGTCTTAAAGTACATTCACTGAAGTATACTTTATTGCAAATAATTGTGTTTGTAATTAAGATATTCTGTATGCTGGTCTTCAGAAGTTAATATTAAATATATATATTTTAAGTCATTTTATGTATATGAGTTCAGTGTGTGTGTTTCTTGGATTTCTGACATCTCAGCATATAGGTTCAATGTCTTTCTTCAGTCATAGTAGATGTGTGATTGTCGTATGTATTTTGCTGAGTTCATGAGATATTTTATTTAGTATCTTGAGTTATTGAAAAATCCTTTGTCACTCATAGTGTGTGTTTTGTTTGCTATATGAGACTTTGGTTCAGAGATTTCAGATAATTTATAATGCAATGACTTCAGAATGTCTACTATATGGTCTGCTATTGTTACAGTTCTGAATTCATGCTTACTGATCTCATGTCATTTGAACTTTAATATCTATTTACCCTGTTTACTGTAACAAGCACCAATCTCCATTATTTTAGTTTATTAACATTGTGAGGCATAAAGAAATGACAGAACTGGACAGTTAAGATCATCATCATCACCTTTTTGACAGCTGCCGTTATCTTGTTATATTTATGAGATTTCTGATTAAAGTCAGTTGTTTAAGGTGAATTACTAATTTCAGTATTTTGCTAGATTCTTAAAATTTCTAAATATTGGTTACATTGTAGTCTTAATGAGTGTGTGCTTACATAGTGTATTCTGCAGTTTTATATTTTTCAATATTACTTGCTTATTCAATGTTCATAATGCTAGGTAACTGATTAGACTATGGCTTTCTTGTTGCATTCATAATACTTTTCCTATTTCAGCTTAATCCTGAAGTATATTCAAAGTTTGCAGAAGAAAGAAATCTCCAGTGGTCATTACTTGAACGTTTGTTTGACTTCTACCCTTCATCCTGTCCTTGTAAAATTTTTCTGTGCGAAAACTACCGTTCACATTCTGCCATCATTGATTATACATCTGAGCTTTTTTACAACAAAAAATTAGTGGCCAGTGGCCAACCATCGGCTCACCCTGCATTCTTTCCACTGACATTCTTTACTGCAAGAGGTGAAGATAGTCAGGACATTAACTGTACAAGCTTTTACAATAATGCTGAGGTGATATTTCTTTCTAAATATTCTACCTGAATATTTGATTGTAAAACTTAGTTATCGAATATAAATTTCCTATTAAAAATCTCACACCAAATAGTTTTAGAAAATGTTTAAGAAACTGTAGTTTAATAGTTAAAAGCCTTTTAACCTGTCAGTACTTTAGTTAGATGTATTTGATTTAAATTCAACATTTGTGTAAGATATTTGATGTTTTGAAACTAAAAATTGAAATGTAAAATTTTTTAAATACTTTGTTTTTATTACATCTATGATATTAGAAAATTATGAAGGATCAAACTGTACATAAATTGTTTAAAGATCCAGTAAACTGAGATTTTAGGAAGTTAGCCTTTCTTTTGGGAGCGACTGGGTTATAAGGAAAAAAAGAGAGAAAGAAAACATAATCATGAAACCTTTTTTGTAGCAGAGAACAATGAACTTGTTACTGAATGACTAACTCTAAAATTGGGCTCAGTCATTATAAACAACCTTGTGACCGCCATATAACCATGAAACATTGCACATCATAGCTTAGGATGTAATAATTATACCTTCACAAAATTTGGTAGACTTTTACCAAACATTACAGGTCTGTTGTGCACAAAAATCAAATTTTTTTAAGAAAGTATCTTTACTAAACATTACTCTGTGAGTTTATGAAGCCTCTACTGAGTCAATCTGAATGAAAGGTGATTTTCATACTCACAATATAAATATTTAGTTTTACCATCCAGTTTTCATATTTTATTTCCTTAACCTCTAGAACTTCGTAAATGAATATCATAAGTTCCTCTTTTTTTTTTTGCAAACACTATACTTTATCTCTTATTTTCTTCATCTTAACACTAACTGTAGCAAAATCATCTGTAGCAAACTTTGAAAAATATGAAATAAAATAAAAAATACCTTCTTTTTTTTTAGAAGGACTGCAGAATGTAACAAACAATTACTGTTATTTATCTTAAAAGCTTAAGACCTCTTAACATTTCACAACTGCTTTCAACCAACAAAGCTTACTACCAAGCAAGACCCAAACCATTGTAGAATTAATTCCAACAAGGTACCTTACTTTTGCTTACATGCAAAGCTATTCTCATTCTGTGCTGCTTTCTATTTACAAAATTGTTTTGCATGCCACAATCCTTTCCCTCCTGCATACACCTCAGCTCATATGGTTTAACTAATTCTCGCACGCAAAATATCATGCGACAAAACTGCCAATGATAGACATGCCCCACACACATGTGACTCCCTCTATGCTATTCTACCTAGCTATCACTTCAAATTTGGCAGTGCTCTTGTTCAGATGTTTTATTTAGTTCTATTTTTGACTTTTGAATTTTCATATCGATTATTTTTCAGATTTCCTACTTATTTTAAACAGTTTTCATTTGGACCTCATTCAGTCATGGTGCTTTTATTTCTTTACCAATACAGTTGTGTTTGGTTTTCTTTCACATTATGAATCCTGAAGTGCAAGTTGCCACGACGGAGGTTGTACCTTCTACCAGCACATTTACTCAGGCTTCAGGTGAGTGAACTCGACTTTGGAATTACTGGCAATTAATCAACAACGAGAGATTGATCATTATTTGAACCAACCCTCTTCTACTGATGTTGCCCAATATCTTCCTGAACAAACCGAACCGGTTCAGGACAATGAAGCATTTGAGTCTTTTTTTTTCTCTGCCTGAATTGGCCAAGTCTTTTCAGGTACCTACTGCGAGTTCTGTTAGGCCTAATATGGCTTTTTTAGACATGATTTCCCAGGTATGTTCTGTTTTATCCCTCTCTCCAATTTCCTGTAATCCTTTACCTTCCTTGTTACATGATACTCCTTCCTCTCAGTATTTTGTGTTTTCACCATCTCCTGAAATTGGAATTCACACTGAGCATTTTGTATCTCAGTTACCTGAGAGTGCTGGCATGTCTCGCCCTCTGTGGGCCTAATTTTCTTCCCGTCGTTTTACCATCATATTTATCTTATGGTACTTGTCCACAATACACCTCCTTTCTGAGGCAATCCACTGATATCCTGAGTGTTTTTCTGGGGATACATTTTCTATAATTACATCCTTCTTGGCATGTTTGTCAACTATGACTCTTTCTTTACACGTAGTTTCACTGTTGTTGGGAACTTTTGGGGAGAGATGGAGTTTTGTTCCACGTTCATTTGCCATCTCCTTATCATAGGGACTTACACCTGACCCCTTACCTCCATCGGTCAGTGTTTGGAGATCTTTTAGTGACTCTGAATCTCAAATGGTATCTGTAATACAGCAATCGATTCTTTCCTCGTTAGTTGATTGTTTGTCTCGTATAAAGCTTCGACCTTACCCTATTTCTGTTCCCCGTCCTCATCCTTCCCAACCCTTACCTGTTCCTTCCATCAGGGGATCTTCTTCTCATCATTTTATTTGATGCCGAGTGTCAAGAAACTAATAAGCTAGCAAGTGAGTAAATTAAAAGCCATTCAAATAAAAAGAGGGAATTATTGAACACTTTCTGTGCTCTTTAGCTTGAAAGATGTAATGAAAATTGTCCTCTGTACATGAAAAAAAAAAAGATGAGGGACCAACTTTCTGATTGTTGATACAAATCTCCTTAATTAACTGTAACAAAAAATGAAATAACAATTACAGGCAACACATAATAGTGCATAGTTTTTTTTTTGGATAACTACCTTATAATACGCTGTCTACAACCTGAGGTCTTTTATTATCCTGCTATCCCATTCTTATATAATATAATCTGAAGCAGCAAACAATGTTATGAGATTTATTGGTAATTCCAAAATCCATTTATAATATTTTGTTTGAAAAATTGCAGAATTTACCAGAGAATATGCATGAAGAATTACAACCTTCATAATTCAGGTTGTCTGGAAGAGGACAACCTGCATGGGGCAGTATATTTGAACACTACAGCCTATACCAGTGTGCAAACTTGAATGACTGCAGCCCACATTATGTATTTTCCTACACCGAGCAATTGATTCATAAAATGAACATTTGTCTGCAAGGGTAGAGTGAATATCAGGGTGTATACCTAAATAACTACAGTGTGCACAAATATGGATTCTTAAAATAACAAACAAGGTAGACTACAAGGTCTGCAGTAGTGTTGTACACAGCAAGCTATAAGGTCCAATAAGCAACTTGTTTGGAAAACTGCAAGTACCATACTACATAATATATGAAAATATATAAGCATCTTCAAACAGTAATATTTTAGGGAGGTTACAGTGATTTAATTTTATACAATACATTTTGTTCAGAAGTAAGTACATGTAGATAGACTATACTCGGTCATCCATATGACTTTAAAACAAATAAGAAAATATTAGGTAGACAATTAACTTACTATTACCTAATAGCATTAACTACGTGTGAAACTTTTTTTTTTTAGCAAATACAAGGAATAAAGAAAGACATATTTAACGGATTGACTAGAAAAATAATGAAGTGATATAATATGCTTCATTGAACTTTATTATTTCTGAATAGAACGTGTATGACAGATAATGATAAAAAGAACACAGAAAAAAACTCCAAATAAGCTGCTAGTAGTTACTTTTTAAACTGACATTTTTGGGGAGCTGTATTGAAGTGTGTAAGAAAAAGACTACTCTTTGTACACTTTCGGTGACGAGGAACCCACTTTGAGACTAATAATGGCTTGAGACGGCTTGAATGGGTAATGAAGAAAAACTTTAATATAAGTTTAACATAACAGCAAATGTACAACATTTCGACAAGGTTTTGTCATCATCAGGTGATTACCTTTATTACCCATTCAAGCCGTCTCCAGCCATTATTAGTCTTTGTACACTTGTGTTTGATGCTGTTGATTGTGAGCAGCAACTCCTTAGTGACAGAGCAGATGTAAGGATAGACTATTACTGACGTGTACGTAGTGTGAATATTATTTTTTAAATCTTGATTTTCAAGTAGATTTCCATGTTACTACTATTTTACAGGTGTATGAAGTTGTAGCAAGAGTATCAGAACTACAAAAGACATGGCCTAAAGAATGGGGAGAAAGAACTGAAAATGGCATTGGCATAGTATCTCCATATTATGATCAGGTATTGTAAGAAGGTTATTATTTGCAATGGTTGCAGAGTTGTTTTTTTATATGAATAACTAGAAAGTAGAATAAACTACAGAACATATTGGTTTAGGCTAGGTTTAGAAGTGATAATACTTGTTTTTTAAGTGATGCTTCTTCTACTTGCAAGATTATCAAGATTTTTTTACATTATCAGAAAACATAATTATATGAAACCTAGTCTTCCAATACAATCATAAGGTATAATATATTTTAAAAATGAATAGTTTTTAACTCTTTTAAATATTAAATCTTTATGTTTTACCCTTATTTTATGCATAAAGTAGCATTATGTCATTTTGTATGTACTGATGTAGGGGGACATTTTTATGGGGAATTGTAGAAACACAGAGTAGTCCAAATTTATCTTCCTATTTTAAAATTTAATAACTAAATAACTGAGGAAATACAGCCATGCAGTTTCAACATCTTGTAACCCAACCCAAACAAGTCTTTTGTTATGTTTTTTCACTCCAGTGAGTAGTATTACCCTGTAAAATAGCAACCATACATATTTTGGCTTGCATAATTACAGATGTCAATACAGGAAAGAATTACCATTGAAACCAATTACACGAGAGTGGATGAATAAGCTTCTGGAGACAGGCAGTGTATTACAGTAACCGGGTGCTGGAAGACCCTCTGTCAGTGATGAATGTATCAATTAAGTATGTGAATCATTTCACCGTAGCCCATGAAATTTGCTTCAGCGTGTTTCATGAGAACTTAACATAGCAAAAACATCCCTCTTCCATGTCATTCACAAATGACTTCATCTGCATGCCTACAAACTTCTGTTGGTAAAAGCACTGCAACTGGATGACAGACCACAACACAAGACATTTGTGATGAACCTTCTCGATTGCATAGACTCAAGACAACATGTTTCTAGCTCATGTACACTTTAGCAATGAGGCTACATATTCTTACCTCTGGTAAAGTGAATTGTCATAATATCTGCATGTGGAGCTTGGAAAGCACCATGACACCATAGACATATTTGACTTGACAAGCAGCCTGGGAAAGACAGAGGTTCTTCAGCCAGACTTCGTAATTGAAAGAACTCAACTGAAACACATGGAGAATTTCACTTACCTGAGGAGTATTATTTCTGCAGATGGAACACTGGATAAAGAGATCATGACAGAGATACAGTAAGCCAGCCAAGCTTTGGGAAGATTGCACATCAGAGTCTTGTAGAAAAAAGACACCTGATTGTCTACGAAACTAAAGGTATGCAAAGTAATAGTCTTCACCTCGCTGCTATGTGGTTGTGAAACATAAACCCTCTACCACAGGCATGAGAAACAGCTTGAGCAATTCCACATGCACTCACTACACTCGATCATGAACATCTACTGACAAGATAGAATCACCAACCAAGAAGTCCTTGATAGGACAGTTACAACTAGTATTGACAGCCCAACTTTGATAGACTGGCCCTATCATCCGGATGGAGGAAACCACAATCCTGAGGCAGCTGTTCTATGGAGAGATAAAGCGGGGCAAACACAACTGAAGATGCCCCAAAAAATGCTATAAAGACATTCTGAAGTGCAACCTTAAGTGGTATGAAATACAGCCTCACCAGCTGGAAGACTTAGTCAAGGATAGACACACCTGGCAATAATGCTTGGAGACGGCTTGAATGGGTAATGAAGAAAAACTTTAATATAAGTTTAACATAACATCAGATGTACAATGTTTCAACAAGGTTTTGTCATCATCAGGTACAAGTAGTTTACACTGACACAGATATATATATACAGTATGGAACAAAGAGGTCACATGACTGGATACTGTTGCAAGACTTAGAAGAGATATCTTAGCATCCCTTCATTACCCATTCAAGCAGTCTCCAAGCATTATTAGTCTCAAAGTGGGTTCTTCGTCTTCGAATTTGAAAGACACACCTGGCATTTACTTACCAACAAAGCTGTTGCAAAACTGGAGGATGATTGCCAACATCTCACCACTACAAGAGAGAAACACCACAATACAACATCTTTTACTATCTCAATTTTGGAATTCCTATGCCCTATCTGTGAATGGCTGTGTGCATCCAGCTTTGGACTACTGAGTCACATGTGGAATCATCAAGATGTGCACAACTAGTGTTATCTATGTATTCGATGGACAACCAAAGAAAGAAAGAAGAAAGAGAACACTGTTACCAGGAGTATGTACCTTGAGATGCTGGAACAGTTTGTGGTGACATAACTGGAGGAAATGCAACTATGGATAATCTTTCAACAGGATGGTACTCCACCTCACTGGAGTTTGCTGGTCACACATTTCTGAGGCAAGAGGTTGGGCCAATTCTATGGCCCCCACGTTCACCAGACATCACTCCATTAGACTTCTTTCTTTTGGGGTATGTTAAGTATATCATGTATTGCACACCTCTAGCAAACATCAGGGAGCTAAAGACCAGGATAACAAATGCCACCATAACTGTGGACATGCTGCAGTGAACATGGACTGAAATCAATCAGATGTGCTAAGAGCCACTAATGGTGAACACGTAAAAGTCTACTGACACATCAATAAAACTATTTGAGTTGGGATACAAGATGTTGAAAATGGCATGGTTGTATTTCCTTGTTATTTAATTATTAAATTTTCAAAAAGTGAAATAATACTGTGGCATATATATATATATATATTCTCAAAATAACTCATAAACTTGAGTTGATTGTAGCCCAGTAGATAGCATACCAGACTGTAGAACTGAGGTTGTATGGTTTGTGTTACCACCAAACAATTAGGTTCCACACTTTCAAGCTATGAGTGCATTATAAGAGTGACAGTCAAACCTAATCTTAATGTTTTTTTCTCATTTGATTTTCCTTCTCTTTTATTGGTTTTATTATTACAGCTTCTCATGTCAAACCTTTTATGACCTCACAGCGTGTGATTTGAACAACTGCTAATGAAACTGGTTTGAGAAAAAGCTACAAACAAAGTTTAAACATCATTAAGTAGAGCATATTATAAAATAATTATGTCAGATTAGAGTTAATAAAGCAGTGTGAGAAGTAATTTGTGGTTAAGTGAGAAAGTGATTACACCAAACTCCTGCAGAGAAGTACAATGGAATTTAACAGGAAGTGTAAAATATTTAGGAACCAACCACAGATCTCTGAATTTTTTAAATTTATTTAATTATTATTTTCACTCCTAAAAAAGTTTTCGTGTTAAATTATATTTGTTTGAAAACTACAAAAATGTTATTCTTGGACAAGACATCAGGTAAGTTTAGTGATTACAGTAGGCAATTGCAGAATATTCTAATGATTCAAATTGCTATTTATTAAATATTATTGTTAAGGCTATAGTATTTAAACAAGGCGCATAAATAAAACAAATTATTATTTATTGAAAAACTATTTATTAGATATAAATTGATCATGACCAAGAATATTGTTAACAAAACATTTTACTTAGCTTGGCCTGATGCCATTTTGAAAGGTTAAGTCCTAGGTTCCTAGATATATGTTTGCCAGTTTTTGCACTGCTTTTATGATTTAGAGCCTGAAATGGTGACTACTGTTATGAACAAAATAAAAGTATCAAAGGAAGCATGTTAATCCATATCAATCAATTTTAAACTGAATGGATATCTGTAAAATGGAACTTTCTGATCAACAATAAAATAGAAAATATATTCTGTTGTTTTAAAAACATTATCTCACAACAACAAAAAAGTAACAAAATATTTTTAAAGATAAAAATATTTGATATTTAATAAGTTTGTTCTAAGTTTATTGCTGTTTGATTAAATATTTTTTCTGCAAGAAGGAAAACCTCGAGGGATATTAATCACATCCCCAAGGTCTGGAAATGGTTAAATCTGTGAAGGTTCATGGTTATCTTTAGACAGTAATTAACAATGTGAATGTTTTTTTTGTTTTAGACATGTTTCACAGTATATTCCCTTCTCCTGACATTGTTTCCTTATGATCTGTTTATCTCAGTTAAGATCGGGTACTTGCAAGCCTTGCCACATACAGGCTTTAATTCTTTTTGCCTTAGCTTATCATCAAGCAGATTTTCTTCTTGATTTTATGTCCTTTGGATCTCCTTTCCATTTTCTCACCTTCCTAGTTTTTCAGTTTTGTTTAACCCTATCCAGTCTCCTATGGGTAATGTTTACCTTCCACTTCCTTTGTTAGGTGTTCCACCTATACTTAAGGATTTTCATGGGATAGTTCCTCCTTCTCTCCATGTTGAAGGATTTACCATCTTCCGTTCTTTCCCACCACACATGACTTCTTTCTTTTTGGAAACTTCTTGGGTGGGGCACTGCTGTTTCTTTCCCATCCACTGCTAATAGGGACTTACAGTCAGATTCTTTTCTCCACCAGTCTAATTTTTGGAGCTCCTCCTATACATTTAGCATTGCATGGGATATCTGCCATGCTATATTCTGTTTGTTTTTTTTTCTTTTTGTTTCATTCCAAGATATTGTCATCTTCATTCTTTTACATGTCCAGCAATTTTAAGTCTTTTATCTGTTCTACCTATGGGTTTTCTCCATTTGTCTTGTATGCTCAATGCTGTTTGGGGTTCTGGATCGATCGGTCCCATGTCAATCACTTCTTGGGTCTTCTCCATTTTCATATATGTAGTCTTTGATCACATTTGGGTTTTCTATTTCTGCATGTCAGGGTATGCCCACATTACACATTCTTATTTCCCATTTTGTAGGATCTGTAGGAGGCTTTAGAACTATGGTCTCCAGGCAACCCTTCACACCCTCGCACTTCATCCAGTCCAGTGTGCTTTCATTCACTCTTTCCATTTTGTGCAGTTTTGACTAATCATGTTTCATTTTGACTATTCAACGGTAGTGACTTCTATCACTCACCAAAGGGATGTTCTTTCTCGTTCCTTTCGTGGTAAACAGTGGAATTTGAACCCACGCACTTTACATGCGTCTCTCCCCCATTTTACAGATTTACAGCTGAACCAATCAATATAAGTCCTCACACATGTATTACAGATGTCTCTATTCCCTCACTCATTTCTGCTCCTGTTACTCAATCCGTTAGTGGGTCATGGTGGAAGTACTTGCAGATTACTTCAGTTCTTCTCCTTCCGCTAACCCTTGAGGATTATTATTCCAATGATGTTCCTGCACTTGGGGCATTTCCTGTCATTATATGTTTGATTGAGATGGTTTACCTTACACAGACATCTTTTCCGGATCAGTCGTTCAATTTCTCATATTGTTATAAAACAACATGTGTCTGTTAATGGAGAGATTAATGTTACAAGATTCCCTCCAGTCTTATGAACTTAAGGTGAAGACAGTATGATCCTCTTTCCTACCCCCACTTGGATATTGGTATCCAGTGGCCTGGGTCTTGGATTGTAGTGGACTTGCCAGAAGTATGATCCTCTTTCGTACCCTCACATGGATGTCGGTACCCAGTAGCCGAGTTTTGGATTGTAGTTTATTTACCGAGGGTATGATCCTCATCCTACCCCTGTGTGAATGTCGGTTCCCAGCAACATGGGTTTTGAATATAGTTGACTTGCATGTACGGTCCGTGTTGCCCTAGACACTCTATACCTAGGGGCACATCCTTTAATCTTACCCACTTTTATGTTTTCTGGGATTGAGATTCATAACTTTATAATGTATGGTTCAGATCACTATCCTGCCATAGTTCTCTCCAAGTTTTCACCCATAAATGCTTCATCTTTCTACAGTAGGCAAAGAATATACCTGTTTCAGAAGTGGTGTGGTCTCCCACATATGATCTTCAACTCCGAAGATTTCTTTGGGAGTGTCCTTTTCAAAGGATGTTTCTTTCTTTCCCTCGCACTGGTCCCTCCACCTGTTCAATGTGGGATGTTAGTTATTTATATGAGTGGAGGTAATGTACCTTACCAGCATTTATAATTTTCCTATACTTAAAATGTATTTTTGATAGGTACTTACCTCCTCTCACATTTCCCACCCTTCCTCCACATGAAAACCAGTGCTTCCATTTTCTGCTAAACCCAAAATGATAGTTTGGTAGAATTGAATAGAGGGAGTCACATGCATCAAAAGAGTATGTCACACTCTTATTGATGGAGGTTTGTTGCATGATGATTTGCATGCGAGACGTATTGGAATTAATCAATTCCTGATGTGGGAGATTCAAGGCTTGTAGCACGGTGCAAAAATTTGATTTGCACATAGAGGGCAGCACTGAACAAGAATAGCTATTTGTGTGAGAATGGGTAAGTACCTATCAGAAATACATTTTCGGTATAGGAAAATTATAACATTGTGTGAGTAATAATGGCTGGAGACGGCTTGAATAGGTAATGAAGAAAAACTTATATTAAAGTTTTTCTTCATTACCCATTCAAGTCATCTCCAGCCATTATTAGTCTCAAAGTGGGTTCCTCGTCATCGAAATTGTGTGAGTAAGTTTTTAAAATTAGTAGAAAAAGGATAATTTCTATATTGAATGAGAGAGAGAAATTTTGTGATAAAATTACTGTTGAGAAAAACGTTTTTATGTAACAAGATGTTAAAAGCAGAACAATCTTAACCTGAGAGCTGATAACATATTCTATGCTATTCCGTAAATGAAAAAAAATTCTCTTTGTTTTAGGTAATAAGGATTCGATCTGAATTACGCAAGCGAAAGATGCATGGAATTTCTGTAGAAAATGTACTCAATGTCCAAGGTATTCTTTTGCTTTATTTTATAGTACATTATAAGTAACATGTAGTATCAGGTAACAACTTTCTATGTTCAATTACAACAATAACACACTAATTTTTTGTGTTTTTTAATATGCATTTATGTGCTTTCACCATACTTCTATTGAATGATGAACTATAACATGTAAAGTTGACTTCAAATAAAACCCAAAACTCGAGCGCTTTCGAATAGTTGACTATTCTTCTTCAGGAATAAGAATAGTCAACTATTCAAAAGCACTCAAGTTTTGGATCTTATTTTAAGTCTATTACACTTTATATGTGATCCTTTGAGCTAACTCTTTTATTAAAAATGTAAAGTTGACTTTACTTGTGGTACTAGTCTTCAAGCTGAACATGCTACTAAAGTATTTTTATTAAGGTGAACAGTATAATTAGTTAATGACCAACAGTGTTCATAATAAAAAAAAAAAAATTAATCGATATGAATCTACCATAAAGATAACTTGTAAGTGTAAAAAGAAGATACTTAGGTTACCAGTAATCTCCTAGTAACATAGTTAAGTAATTCTGAAAAAATATTTACTTAAGAGTCAAATTACTTAAAATAAGCACACAAATACAGACATTAGAATAATTGTAAGGTTGCTTTTGCTTTTCAGAATGCCATACAAAAGAAGAGGTGAAATATAATTTAAAAAATAGATATACAAAAAAAAAAAGTGTTCAACACTTTAAAATGAACATCATAAAATGCATATAGGCCTAAAGAGGGAAAAGAAAAAGATACAAACTGTCCAAAAGAATTTAACAAGGCTCCAAAGTGCAGAGTAATCAGATTGCACAAGCTACTATTAATATCTTAAAGAGCATAAATTGTGGAAGAATGATTAGAGAGACTTCTCCAGCATAGCATACTTTGTTTCACTTTTGCAAAGGATATAAATATTAAGTATGTTTTAATTTTGAATGTTATTTTTAAATTACCTCTGCAAGGCTCATAAGCAGTTCCTTGTGTTTAGAGCTGTGCTAGTTAACTACCATAAGCCTTCAGGACAGCACTAATGAAGCTACAGTTTGTTGAAAAGTTTAATCAGGAACACACCATTCATTGATAAGAACTACATCCAGGGATGTAGAAGCAAGAAAGGCATGTGAAAGTCTGTTTACATGAATACTCCCTAGATATTCTCTAAGATAGAGATCTTCTGTTTTTGGGCACACCAGGGTACATCACTTCTTCCCATGATTGCCAGATCAGTCTACATTAACTCTTTCAGAGTAGATAAGCGTATTATAATTTTTGAAAGACACAATCACCAGTGAAATAAAGTTGTTATATTATTGGATAAGCCTTGTCTCATGGGAAGTGCTTATAAGTTCTGGGTATTTTTCTCATTTTTAGTGCAATGGATTAAACTAAAAATCTGACTTACTCTTAATCATATGCACCACTTTGAACCAAGACCTCTGGGATCATATGCTTTCTTGGACTTGTCTATGAAGAAGTAAAAATTACTCACTTAACAAACTCACCTTTCACCATTTTTCTTTAATCATCAGTATTTTATAGTTATTGCTAACATTCAAGATTTTATTCCTGTGGAGGACATAGATAGCACAGATAGCCATTGGACAGCTTTGTGCTTAACAACAAACAGAATAATGGATGGCTAGTGTATGACCAATCATCATTATATATCCCTGATTTTGATGATTGTTGTCTTTCTATTTTTATCACAGTGTAGATCATTATAACTGAGGTGACAAACCTTTATATAAACATGCTTATTCATACCTAGAGATTGCATGTGATTTGCATGTCCAGTGTATGGGTTTGATTAATTATAAGATGGTTTCATTTGCCCAAGAAACTAGTAGGATTTCTGTTTGTAGTTTAACTCTAATATGTAAGAAGTCATCCAGTATATAAAAGGAGATTCAAGACAAATTATAGAAATTAATGATAATAAATAATCATATGAAAAAATCATTAGTCAAAATTGATTTTACAGCCAATAAAGAGACACCAGAGAAAAACACTAAAAAAATCATCTGTCAATGATTTATCCCCTTGCAAGGAAGAAATGAAGGAAAATTCAGCTGTTACACAGTGTCACACAAGAAGAAATTCAACAGTTACAGTCATCGTGAAAGCATTTTGCAGAATTCTAAACTTCAAAGAAAATAGTTTCTGAAAAGAAATGAAAAATGAAAATCAACAATCATAAAGACTTTCCAGTGAAATATTTTATTTACAAACACACATACACATTTCAGCAGTCAGATAGACACATGTAAGAAAGTTTTCAACAGTCATCTGTAAAAACTTAGGCACAAAAAGACTTGTGTAACAGTGTTTTAAGTATAAATATCATCTAAAATAATAGGTACAGCATAACAATTATAAAATTTATTCAATGGACAGATAATTCCAAATTAGAAATACAAATTAATAGTAATCAAAAATAACTTGACAAAGCTATTAAGAGAATCTGAAGAAATATAAAAACAGCAACATAGGATATGAAATTTGATAGCCACCGAAATATATTTATACTTAAAGAGATGGAAAGCTGATAAATAACTAAGAAAGATCCATAACTGAAAAAACCACAAGATAAGTAAGACAGAATTCAACAAACAACAAAACAATTTAACAAAATTATAAAATGTAATAAAAGTACCTCAACAGTTGCAGGAGGACATCAGTGGTCATAAAGTTATCAAAAGTGGATTTATCAGAAGCATTCATAACATTAGAGAAATAGTTTAGCAGTTAAAAATGTGTGAAAGTTTCTATACTTTCTTTGTAGGACAAATACATTGAGTTTGAATATAAATTAACTGAAGTTTACTGTTATTGAATGAAATAAAATCCCAGAAATTAACTTTTTCTTCTATTTCTAGGAAAAGAATTTCAAGTAATTTTTTTAAGTACCGTTAGAACTCGAAACACATGTACAAATTTACTGAGTGGACCTGACAGTAATTCAACGAAAGAAGAAATGGATTATGGGTTTTTGTCAAATCCTAAACTGTTAAACACTGCAATAACTCGTGCTCGTTCATTGGTGGCAGTTGTTGGTGATCCCATTTCTCTGTGTTCAGTAGGTAACTGTCGGTAAGTAACAGCATGTGTATACTATTAAAATTATCTTAGTAAGCAATATAGTATTTACACATTCAGTGGCTCTAGTATTTATTCCCGAGTCCAGATCTATTGTGTAGCTTATTTCAGTTGAAATATTTTTTGTTGGGGATGTAATAGAATAATAAAAGTAAAACTGATGTTAACTGTAAATAATAATTGTTCATCAGCCTACCACTGAAAAAAACTTGATCTAAAAAACCTTTTAAATAAAGAAAAAAGTAGTACTTACAACATCAGACGAAACATGAAGTTAAAAATGATGAAAAACTTTTCTGTAAAGTGTAAAGTTGCAAAATTTGAAGGATGAAGAACTAATCCAAAATATATATGTAAAAAATACACTATCCCAAGAATCCATGTTATTGGATTACAAATGGTAACTAAAGAATGTTGTGATTTATGCTTGTAGAATTATTTAAACTGGCAGGATAATGTAACATATATATATATGGAATATTTAATTATTACAACTACACTAACGTGAAAAAAGAAGAAATTCAATTGTATAATGAAAACACCGTGATTAAGGCCTTTTCAGTAATCTCACACTGGAGTTTTTGTTTTTTTTTGGCATAGCAAACATTTAGACACTTGATACATGACTGTTGAAATTCATACCAAGTTTTTTGTTTCTGTTGATTACTATAAATCAAATTCCCGTAATTCCATTTTCTACAATATGTCATTTTCATTTTATATATATATATATATATATACAAGAAGCTTCACAGTTAGGTAAAGTGAAAAAAGATTAAGTAAATTGTATCAAAAAAAACTAACAGTTTAGCACTTACAAATGTAAAAAGTATACCACTCTAATGCCTGTTTTTAAAGCTGAACAAAATATGACCAAATTGTGCTGTAGAAAGAAAATAACAGTGTGATGGATTAAAAGATAAGGGATGAAGTGACGTTTGGTGACTTTATGTAATTTATTGCACCTAAAGAGTTATCCTTTTTCAACTACTTATTTCATTTTGTACCTCACAGTATGATTGATATTTGTTTGATCTTTTTATGTAAATATCTGACCTTGTTAATTGTACAATAACAGTAGCTTTTTTATAGAACTAAATATATTGATTTCAGGCTTCAGCTTATGAATCAGAAGATTCTCTTTTATTTTAGTTTCGTACGATGTTAGAATAATCATTTTTGTAGTGTGTTATGGTAAAAATTATTTCTCCCTGATTGTTATAATGGGGTTATTTTTATAGTATTTATTTTTTCTCTTTTTCTAATTCTGATTGGCCTTTTTAATATATATATATATATATAAAGCAGACCATGGTTGAACCATTTGGCAACCCTGCCTTTCTGCTTGGAATTCCATGCCAAAATTATTTTTTTCTCATCTAGGTAGGGAATTACAAATTACAGGCAGGGAGGTTTATGTATAAATTTTCATCACTTAGTCAAAATTCTTTGTGGGTAATAGTTTATTTAGTTTTAAAGTTTATAACTCTTGTGATTTCCTCTAAATAAATGTGTTGTTGATGTTATTAAATACAGACAAGATTATTGAAAATTGTTAATTTAAAAAGGAGTATTAAAGGTCTTTAAAAAAAAATACAGAAACAAGATGTGTAGCTTAGAGTGAAAATGCAATTGCCAAAAAAGTAAACAAACAAGCTTAAGGCATGAGACTTAGTGTTGACATTATTTCCTCAATATTGCAGCTTTTAGACATGCAGTCTTGTTTCTTTAGTTTTTATGTCCATTGTGGACATAGATCTATACAATAGCAATACTGTCCTATTTGAAACAGTTTAGTTTAATGAAATACGTAGTTGGTGAATGATGCTTTCTCAGGAAATGACAACCTTTGGATTGGCTTCATGCAGATTTAATAGTTATTGCTTTTGATATTGCCACAATGTTATCATTGATAGTGGTACTGCATGTATGATCATTATGATGCATGGTGATCAACATACCACATGTTACATACGTGGATGTAAAATGTATATAGCTACTATATTTATACCCTGTAGCTATAGGAAGTCTGTAAACACTGGACTGGACTCTACTGGAATGGTGCATGGACTGGATTTTGTAACTGCACAATTTTTATACGTGCAGACTATAGTTTTTTAAGTGTGCCTGTGCACACATCATTATATGAACAACTGGCTCCTTCTGGCACCATCCCATCAATTAGCAAAACAACACTCTCAGATTCTCCTTTCTGAAGCCACAAAAGCAGGCTTCCTTATCAGACTGGAGAAATCTATTCTGTCACCGATGCATTATCTCATCCATCTGGTTGTGTTTTTCAATATTCACTTAAATCTCACTCAACCAACCTCTATCAGGCTTCAAGCGATGCAAAGAGCCATCTCCTTCTCCCACTGAGCAGATGGTTTTCTTTATTTTGAGGATGTGGGCATCCCTTGAGCCTCTCATTCTTTTGGGATGAGCACATACGAAGTCCCTTCAGTGGTTACTGTGACACCAATGGATCATGCATTCCGATCTTTTGGATAATCCTGTCTCTTTACTCAGGAACATCATCATCAATTGCGAATGGAGGTTGGATCAGAACAACTCTACTATTGGGGTACCCATTCCACCACCTCTTCCCAAGATCCATCTGTTTACCGATCCATCTCTTCAGGGATGGGGAGCTTATCTTCAAAGTCAGGAGTTCCAGGGTATTTGGACGTAAGATGAGTCTACCCTCCTTATCAAAGTTCTCAAACTCCTTGCAGTACACTGGGTGGGCAATGGTTCAAGGTCTGTCTCTCTTGAAGTGAAAAATTGTCATGATACATTTCGACAATTCCATGGAGGTATCTCAAACTTCTTGTCAAGGAGGCACACATTCTCAAAACCTTTGTTTTCATACCCTGGATCTTCTCTACTGAGTTAATTCCCATTGTATCAGTCTTTTAGAATGTCATGTTCCAGGAGTGATGAAATTAATTGCAGATCGCTTGTCATGACCCAACCGGATTCTTTCAACAGACATAAGGATTTAAATTCTAAGGTTTCTCTTTAATTAACTAAATCTCTCCATAGGCCAACCACAACCATTTATTAACAGAAATGGAATACTTATTATCAGTGGTGTATTAATAGGAATTTAAACCCTCTTCATCCTAAAGTATCTACAGTATCCAGTTTTATGACTTGGACATTTGAGAGAGGTCTTGCTTCATTTATGGTGGCTTTATATAATTTCAGTATTCCAAATATCGGAATTTTTTGACTCCTCAGTACTATCAAGTTTACTCAAATCCTTTCATATTCTTTGATCCAAACGACCTTTTCAATTACCAAATTGAGATTTTACAGTGGTTTTACATGCATTGTCTCATCCTCCCTTTAAGCCCTTAGCTTTGTGTTCTTTGTTTCACCTTTCTCCTAACTTGTACTTTTTGTTGTTGTTGGCTTGTGGACATTGTCGGTCAGAGTTGTTTGCAATCCATGTACATCAAACTCTATCATTCCACATTGGTCCTGCTTTACTCCGATATGTCTTTTCTTCCCAAGACTTTGGCAGCTAGGGGGAAGATCCTTCTCACCAATCCATATGACAGCCATTTCTCACCTTCATGACCCCTCTATTAGATATTTTTCTATAAGAAATTAAAGTATGCTCTTCTTTCAGTGGCAGCTTTAAATAGATGGCTAATATATGCTAGACATTTGCACATTCAGTACAGTAAGTTTGTTTTAACACAATAAATCCTTGTAAATGATTTTTTATCATTTAGGTGTGTAATGCTCTCATATAATTATTACACTTTATTACGCTTAGTGTAGATCTTTGTTTGAAAATCCAGTGAATGCAGGTGTGTGTGTGTGTGTGTGTGTGTGTTCCTCCATTTTAAGTAAGTTATTAATTATTCTGGTGAATGATAATTTGCTGGAAATGCATCTAACACTAATATATACTCCAGTATGTATATTTAATCATAATCCTATTTTGTTTTAGAAATTATGAATATTTTCATTACTTCCAACATTTAGTACAGATTAAACCAAAATTTGGGCATTTACAATATGAGAATCTAAGTGTAAATGTGATATTACAAGGATTAATTAAGCATACCCTTACTTGAACTTCACAATAATTAGAGATTTGAGGACCCACTTCGTAAAAGAACTAGTGTAGTGATTTGAAGAAAAAAAAAGCAAGACGTGTGAAATTAAGATAAAAATAAACTATATTTTGATGATAAACAAAAGAATGCTGATTATCTGGTGATGATGTTTATTGTATTGTACTGAAAGTTGAAAGTAAAATAAACGTATTTAAAAGAAAAGTTAAACAAAAGAAACTGGAAATAAACGTAGGACTTTTGGTCCAGAATTACTGAAAGAAGGATACATACATGATCAGCAGGCTGAACGATACAGGAAACAAAGACTTTCTTAAGTCCCAAAATGATAATTTGCTGGAAATGCATCTGACACTAATATATACTCCAGTATGTATATTTAATCATAATCTTATTGCTTCAGCAATAAGTTTACAGGTTTTCTACTATCAAATTATCAGGAATTTGCTGTGAACTAAGCATCACCTATTGTGCAGTGGCACCTTTTTTTCTAACATATGAGCTAAACAGCCTGATTAGGGGCCCCAAGGTTCAGCAGAGCAAAAATTGCATATTTAGGAATTGCTTGTGGATTAACCCCATAACTCAGTTTATAAAGTACTCACCTAGTGTGTGAGAGTCTCAAACTCAATCCTGTTTGCCAGAAATTCCAATCTGTAACACATTTTTATCTTATATATATTGTGAACTGTGTGTTTGTCCAAACATTTGTCTGTCTCCCATTTATGGTGGCCACATCCTGTGCTCCATTTGAAAAGATGTGCACACAGGCAAAGCTCAACATTCACTTTTCAAATGACAGGAGAACGGGCATGAATAATGTTGATGCCAAATTTTGTTTTGCAAGCAGAATATTCTATATAAATCACACTATTATTCACATTTCAAAATGTGACATCTTAAATAATAAAATTTTAGATTTACTGTATGTTATTGTTAAGCAGCTATTAGTATGACTGAAATGCTCAACAATTACTTTTCACAGTGGGTGGTATAAGTAGCTTTGGCTTTGAGTGAAATCAAGAGAGCAATACAATTAACCTTTTTATTAAAGTTCATGAAATAATTTAAAATGAGATAAATTAACTTGAACTTTTCCCACCAAATAGTCATCCGGTACACACCATTTGAGTATCAAGGTTAATGAAACAAAAAAGCTTATATATTAATAAACTCTATAGTTTATATGTGCAAAAAGACTGTTGTTTTTTTCTGATCTGCAAATGCAACAGCAACAAAAACAAAACATTGTTCTTCATCAAATAAGATACAAGTGTTAATCTAATGGACAGAGCTTCATACAAGGGTCAAAAGTCTTGTCAGCATTGGATACTGCAGTTATAGTTTAGTTGAGATGTTATTGCATATTTTTCTTTGCTATTACTCATAGTTCCTTAGAATTTAATGATAAAAAATGAAATTTGGAACATGTTTGTGAGGTAGCAATATTCACGTTTCAAATAAAACTACTATGAGTGCTCTAGCAAGTAAAAAAAGGTTTTTATTGATTTATAAAAAGGTGTTATTTATTATAAGGATTACAGGAATATAGTAGTGTATGCTAATATAAGGAAGTTTTTATTTTATTATTAAATCTGTCTCTTTTATTAAATTGTTCACTATTTCACTTGTCCAGTGAACAAGTATTTTTAAGAAACCACTTACTGAATTTAAAATTTTTCTTATTCCATTCATCGAGCAGTATCATTTTAGACCCTCAAAATTACATGTACATGCTGCTGGCATACACTGAATAAACTAAATGTTAACCACTGATATAACAATGTACTGGTATTAAACATGTGTTGTTGACATACATAACTATGAATTGTTTAGACAAGAGTTCAAATATGGCATAATCACAACCATTTAGTAATTTAAAAAATCTGTTATTTATGGACAGGACAAAATTTTTGAACATGTATTACATTTTCAATTTGTTAAATATGGAATAACTAGGGTTGTGTTGATTACTTTTTGTTGTTAACATTTTCTTCTGATGCTTTGCAGCAAGCTCTGGGAGAAGTTTATTTTTTGCTGCCACCAAAACAACAGTCTTTATGGAATAACCTGGAAGACAGTGGAGGCTCATCTTGATGGTGTGGAGTTGAAGAAAATCTATGGTTTGAACCCTCTAGCTCCAGAGTTTATACCAAGATTTTTTAACCATGCAAATCCTTACATTTCTCCTACATTGAACCCTTTTCCTTCACCTTGGAATTTACATATGAATCATCCACCTTCTCTTTGTTTTCCAGCCTTATATACTATCCCTTCTGTATACCCTTATTTATTTTCTCCATGTATGTACCCTTTTACTGCTCCTCCTGTGTGGCCTACCTCTGGGCCATTCCAGGGACCCAGGTATCAGCCCCATCTCTATAGACAAACTATGCTTCCTCCAGCCTTTCCACAGAATTTATCATCATTATTGTCCCAAAGAAACTCTGTATACCATTCAGAAGATGCTAAAGTAATTGAGCTTCTACACAAACAAGCTTTTGGTCATGACCTAGAAAGTAATGTCACCATGAAATCCAGCAACCCACATTTTAACAACCTGCAGAGAGTAGCTACCAATCAGGTTGCTATTCGTGGGTCATCCCCAAGTCAAGAAGCTAGCCAAAAACATGAATTGATCAGGAAAGATCATAGCAGGGTTCAGATTCTTCCTAGAGTCCATTTGCCTCACAAAGAAATCCAGTCTTTTAGTAATTGTGGAAGAGTATTGCAACACAAAAATAATTCTTTGAGCTCTACAAACTCTATAATGTCTTCTTATCCTGTTCATCATAATTCATTTGTCAAGGAAGGTCTTGCAGTCAATCATGAATCTACAGAATTTTCTACTAAGCAAGACTTAAATTGTAGGAATTTAACTAAAGAACCGAGTTACAGCAATGTAAAGCAATTTAATTCTGAATTTTCGACCAAACAGAAATCTGTTCCAAGACTTGGGGACTCAAGCCATTCTAGAATTAACTTACTTCTACTAGAAGATTTTGAAAAAAACAAAGTGTCACTGCCAACTTCAGATACAACTTTGCTACAAGTGCCATCAAAAAAACCAGATTCTTTACCAAAAGCTATCATTGTACAAGAACTAGAAGCTATGCTTTTTGAAGCATCAGAAAAAGGCCAGTCTTTCCAGTTTACTTCAAACATAGGCCAAGAAACTAATCAGCTAGCAACTGGGCAAGTTCAAAGCTTTTCAAATGAAAAGATGAAATTATTGAACTCTTTTTCTACCCTTGAGCTAGAAGAAAATAGTGAAAATCGACCTCTGTATATGAGAGGACCATTAAAGATAAGGGACCAACTCTCTGAACGTCGAAACACATATCCCGAGTTAGCCATACAAAAAAACGAAATAAGTAACAATTACAGGCAACACACAATAGTGCATAGTACTTTTGAGCAACAGCTTTATAATACGCTGTCTATAACTTCAGGTCATTTGTCATCCTCCTATCCTGAACTTACAAAATATGATCTAAAGCAGCAAACAATGATTAGAGATTTACCTCCAAAACCCATTCATAATAGTTTGTCTGAGCAGTTGCAGACTGTACCAGGGAATATACATGAAGAACTACAACCTTCACAGTTCAGGTTGTCTGGGAGAGGCCACCCTGCACTGGACAATTTATCTCAACAACTTCAGCCTATAACAGTGTACAAACCAGGAGGATTACAGTCTAAATTACATAGTTTTACTACACCAGTCAGTTTGACTCAAAGATTACAACCTACTTCAAACATTTTATCTCAACAATTTGAACCTACACCAGAACATTTTTCCACAGGGCTAGAGTTAACATCAGGGTGTATACCTAAACAGCTACAGTCTGCCCAAATACAGTATGCACCAGGAAGTTGTTTAACCAAAAGATTAACCCCTACACTGGTGTCTGTACCTGGAGATCTGCAACTGACATTAGATAGTACACAAGATAGTGTACACAGCAGACTACAAGCCCCACAAGATAATGTACACAGCAGACTACAAGCCCCACGAGATAGTGTACACAGCAGACTACAAGCCCCACGAGATAGTGTACACAGCAGACTACAAGCCCCACGAGATAATATATACAGCAGACTACAAGCCCCACGAGATAATATACACAGCAGACTACAAGCTCCACATGATAATATGCACAGCAGATTACAAGCTCCACAAAATAGTGTGCACAGCAGACTACAAGATAGTGTACACAGCAGAATACTAGCTTCTCATGATAATTTGAACATCAGACTACAAGCTCCACATGATAATTTGAACATCAGACTACAAGCTCCACAAGATAGTGTGCACATCAGACTACAAACTCCACAAGATAGTGTGCACAGCAGACTACAAGCTCAACAAGATAGTGTGCACAGCAGACTACAAGCTTCACATGATAGTACACACAGTACACTACAGGCTCCACATGATAGTATATACAACAGATTTCAAGTTCCTCAAGATAACTTACATGGCAGACTACATGCTCCACAAGACATTGTACACAGCAGACAAGGTCCACTAAACAACTTGCATAGAACAATGCAACCTCCACAAGACAGAATGTATGAAAATGTACAAACTTCATCAAAGAATAACAGTTTAGGGAAACTACAGGAATCACAAAATAATGTACCTGGAAGAATGCAAGCTCAACAAAACAGCACACATGGAAGATTACTAGTGCCACAAAACAACTCAGTTGGAAGACAGCAAGCTCCACAATACAGTGTACTTGGAGGAGTACAAGATCTGCAGGAAAGTGTATATGGTGGACTACAAGCTCCGAAGGACAACATCCATGGAAGACCATATAATCCACAAGATTGTAGAAATGGAAGACTCCAACTTTTACACAAAAGTGTAGATGATTATGAGCATGTTCCACAAGAAAGATTACAGACATGTGTGAATAGGAACTTTGAACCCAACAGTTCTAGAAAATGGCAGAATGATTCAGATTGCTCTTCTGGTCAGTTACAGTTTGTTCAAAAAAGTTTAAATCTTAACACAAATGCTGAGGCAAACAATTCATTAGAATTATTGGCAGTTCAAAAAGTCAACTCAATCGTAGCTGAAGGATGTGCTTCAGATAATCAACTGATGGCCAACAAAACTTTATTCCAAGATCAACATTCCCCTCCTGCTTATCCATTGACCTATGCAGGAGCAGTTCGAAGTCATTTCCCACAAGATTCATCTCTTGGTACACTGGAACTTGATAAGCCTCCAGTGGTCAAAAGAAATATAGGTTCACATGAAGATCAGGATCTCTGTATTAAAACATCTTTAAAGAACCAAAGCAAATGTGGTCTGTACAAGTACTTCTCATAACAAAGGCAAAGTTTCTCTGCTGTAGATAGATTCGTTAACTGGAATCAAATTAGACTACAAATGATTAAAATCAGTTTCTGTACATAGATCAGAAATACTCCAATATAGGAATATAGGTTCACATGAAGATCAAGATCTCTGTATTAAAACATCTTTTAAGAACCAAAGCAAATGGGGTCTGCATGAGTACTTCTTATAACAAAGGCAAAGTATCTCTGCTGTAGATAAATTTGTTAACTGGAATCAAATTAGAATACAAAAGATTAAAATCAGTTTCTGTACATAGATCAGAAATACTCCAAAATATTTTTCTTCCACCCCACTCAAGAGTCTGTGAACAAATTCTGTGTATTTATTGCAACACTTTAGTATACAGTTTCCTTCATATTTCATAGAATCAAAATTCAAGAACAGTTTATCCAGTTGACCATTTCAAGAAATGTTTTATTTTTTTTTTATTCAGAAAATCTGAAACAAATTTGTTTTAATTTCTGGAAGTGTTTGTGGTTCTTTTTTAACTACTGCATCAGTTAAGTGAATCTAATTCATTTACTCAAACATCTGTAAACAGATATATTTCACTAATAATGTCCTGTTATTTGTTAATATTTGATTAATTTGTAAACAGATTTATTGTAATTATTAAATCAATTCTGTAAATAGGATTATTTTCAGTACAAGATGAATTTGTAAAAATGTTTAGGTTTATATTATCCCTATGTTAGTTTGTAAATCCGTAGTTCTGTAAACAGAGTTTCTAGCAAGTATGTTTGTAAATAGCTTCATTTTTTCACTTGACTGGTCTTTTAGTTTGGTTTCTTTTACTTATTATTATTATTATATGTAGATTTTTTTAGTTTACTAAATAAGATTTGTAATTCAACTTATTCAAAACATGAGATTAGTTATGCAAGCAGAAATTTTTATAATTATCATATCTTTAAGTTTGATTTTTTCTTTACTATATTGGTTTGGTGAAAAACCTTTATTCTAATTACTCAGATAGTTCTAAAAAAATGTTTCCTTCTCTGTTTTTTCAATAAACATTTAAATATTGAACAGTTCATTAAAGAGAGTTACTTTAATACCAAAATGTTTTGTGTAAACAGGTTTATTTTGTAAACTAATTAGTTTTTTAAAAAGAATTGCTATAATAAACTGGTTAATTTTTAAACAGTAGTTGGGTAAGAATTTTTGTTTTGCTTAAAAGATGACTTGTATAAAAAGAGTTCTGATGAGTACTAGTATACTTTTGTATTAAAATAGGTTTAATCTAAATGATAAATTACTATAAACACATTTGTGTTAATGAGAAGAAAAATTCTGTTTGCAGTTTTGTTCCAATATACAGATTTATATACAGACTTAATCTAATTACTTTATGAAGCTTGATAACAAATTCAGTTTAATTAAAATATATCTGTTTACAGAATTATTATAAAAATGTGGTCCTTAAATATTTTTACTAAACTTAATTTATTAATTTTGTGTTTCAGTTCATTCCAATTTTTTGGTCAGTTTTGTAAACAAGTTAGGTTAAACTACTATATTAAGTAAGTTTTGTTATAGTCCATAATTATTTGTTTTTTAGTTCTTTTTCCAAAGTGTTTTATTGTAATTATTCAGTTGTAAAAAAAAATTATACAGATTGGTTCTATATAAAATTGTTTTCCATTTGAATAGCTCAGTTAAGAGGACCATCCTCATACAAGAGTTAGTTTTGTAAACTTTGTTTTTATGTTTAATACATCACGGTTGTAAAAAGAATTTCAGTTATTATAATTATTTTGTAAAAATGTTTCTTTTCTTCACTAGAACACTTTTGTAAACATAATTGATGGATTCATTTTGTACACAAGTTTATTATAATCACTAAAACAGTTATGTAAGTAGATTTATTCTCTTTAATAGACATTTCTTTAATCTTGTGTATTGTTACTGCTTGATTATTTAGGTAAACAGTTTTATTTCGTTTTCAGTTATGGTCATGAATTATTTTGAAATATAAATGCATTTGTATCATTTCTGACCAGGATGCTTGAAGGCGTCATAAATTTATACCTGTATTAACGATTTCTGGAGAAAGTTTATATATATATATATCTCTAGAAAATAATGCATATTTATGATTATATTAAAATTTGTAAATGTTTTCATAGTTTTTAGTGCTAGGATTTTGTTAAAATGTAATAAATTAGTAAAAATTGTACATTTTGCGTAGTAATACATTTAGGGATACTGTCCATAAATACTAATGATGTGTTGGTAAAGGAAGCTTCTGAATTTGAGTGTTACATTTTGTAAGACTGTATAAACTTTGATTGGTTTCTCCAAGCCTTTTCCTTGGTTGTGGTTTCATTAATCAGTCAATAGTGACAGTGGAAATAGTTTCACGTCTATATTTGTGTATAAATTGTGAACACAAAGCATTATTGTAATTATTTTGGGTGTATGTGTTTATATATATATATATATATGTGTATGTGTACACACATACACGCACGGGCACACACACATGTACTATGAAATCTTTTCTGCATCTAATGATTCAAATTTGAAATTTTTGAAATCTATTTCATAACTTGAAATATGTTTTAAACCAATGTTTGATATGTGAACATCTTAAAGTATTACATTTTATATATGTAAAAAGTATTCTCAGCCTGATGTTTGACATGTGATTCTTAAAAGAAAGTTATTATACCATGAAAGGTTTTTCTTTGTCAACTGGTTGAAATGTGTTAGTTTTGAAGAAACTGATCTAAACTGTATTTACATCATTGAGAGAAATTATTTAAAATATGATGAGTTTTGAGGCTGACATTCTTACAGCTTTCTGTTTTAATGGTGGCTGTTTGTTTGAGTATTCAAAATGATATTAAATTTACAAGTTTTGAAAATTTTTACCAGTGTAACATTTATAGTCTTAGATTTGTCTCAAGAAAACATTGTGTAAATTAATAATTTCAACATATATCTATTCCTTTTGTACTGTGTGTTGAATTGCAAGTATGTAGTTTTTCACTTTGGCTAAAAATCATGCATGTTTTTCTCATGTCACTAGTTCTGTGGGCTGTGAATTAGTTTAACCTGAAGTAGTTATATAAACTCTTTGATTCCTAGAGTGGTAAAGTTTGAAATGTATTTTAATTAATAAATGTAACTTTTATAAGCATGTTTAAATAATGTATATATTTGTGTTTAGATTTATAGTTAAGTGTCTTGATGTGTGAAATAAATAAAATAATAAAATTTAAATTTTTATGAGAGCTGTTGTGCATGCCAGTAATTTTGAAATTTAAACAGTTTGAAATTTTGTCACCTATTGTGTGTGTGAAAGAGAGAGATTATGCTCTTTTTAAATAAAAGACCCTGAAGATTTTGGTCAAAAGTGTCTTTTGAAAAATATATTTTTCATCATTGTAATCCAAGTCTTATTAAACAAGTAATATTTAAAAATACCCTACAGTATAGATAAAATTTGCTATATATTATACTATTGTAGACAATTATAGTCCTGTATAGTAAGGCCAGAACACGGAATATACTGAAGGTAGCAGTGAAACTTGACGAACAAGATCACGTGTTAAGATCATGCAGTAACTATATTAAAAACTAGACAACCCGTGACCGGTTGGGTCACCCACTATTCAGAGGTTATGAATAAATCAAGCTAATTACAATATTGCACCGAAATGAAGGTTTATTTTGAGATAATTAAATATTTCAATCCATTCGTGTTATTCATAATTCAAGATAATAATTTTAATTTTGATCGGGAGTAAAAGGAAAGACCATTTTTTTCAAAAAAGTTAAGTCAGAGTTTTCAT